GGCAAGTCTTACACAGCATTATTTTTAGCATACAAGAGGCATAGTTATGAAGACCAAACTTCTCCAGTCAGCACATTAGACTTTTAATTTTCAAACTGCAGTTGTTCCTTCCTTGTTTTTCTTGGCTGTTAAAATGAAGGGAAAATTTTGTCTCCTAAACTATTTCATATCTTAAAAAGAGGCTGTCGGCTGTTCTGTTCTTGGTTATCAAGGTTTTTTTTTTTAAGATTGCGTAGTGCTGCCAAACCTGCAGAAGGATTTGTAGTACTTGGCCTTGTAAAAAGTTTGAAGACCAACTAGAACCTTGTGCTGACTTGGGTCTCCCTCGGAGTGGAGGGAAGGTGAGGTGGGACTTTCTCAGACTGGCGTAGTGGAGGGGGCAGCTCTGTGTATACCAAAGTGTCAGAGCCAGAACTACCTCTCTCTATCACATCACAGCTATAGGAGCACTCCTAGTGTCTAGGGCTGCAGTATTCTCGCCACAGAAAGTTGACGGCTTTGACTAAGCTTGAGTGTTGTTTGGGGGCTGTGGGACCTAGTGTGGACTATCATCTTAGTCTTGGAGCTTCCTATGTACGGCACAGTGCGTTGGTTTGGCCAACTGCACATTTGTAACTTAATGAACTGGATTTCTTGGCTGCCGTGGTTTAACAGCATGCTTGGTACCTGACAACGATGACTGTCGTTTCCATCAGTGCACTGATGTGCAAAGGAGGTAGACGGTGTTACTGCTGATGGGTTGGGTTGTGCAGTTCCAGGTCACGGGCAGTGCTCAGGCCTTGGTTTGATCATACTTCCGAGACTTTCGTCGGTAACTATGCAGCAGCAGTTGCTTAGGTTGTAAAGCAGTTAGCTTTGTGTCACGGGAAATTGATGTCCAGTTGTTGCATTACCAGGCACAAACTAGTGCACGTGGAAGGATTTGGATTATTGCCATGTGTTTGGTTTTTGTTTTTTTTTTTTAAAACATGTTGTGAACCTTGTTCCTTTGTTGAGATTTCAATAAAGTTGTTGCTGTAATCCATGCTTGTTTTGATCCTGTTGGATGTATGCGCCTGCATGCGTCAAGAGTGGGCTTTGGGTGTACTATGTGACACGAGCTATGTAACCATCTAACCATTTGCTCCCGGAGTCTTGCAGTTACGTGAGCCTTTATTCCGAAGACGACTTCAGCAGCCGGTGACAGCTCTGGAAAACGAGGGAGCTGTCACCGTACTCGGTTCAGGTCTCTTTCTTTCCTAGGCCGAGTGCGCTGTACCAGCTTCTCCCACATGCCGTTTGGAGCGAACGGGGTTTTGGTAAATAGTTTGGTCTTGCTGATGTCATGTGGTGGTGGCTTTCCCTAATCACTGCTCAGTGTTTGGTATTTCTTCCTGTCACTCACTCACACCTGTCACAGGTAGTGGTTCTGATCTGGTTTCTGTCAGGTGAGGGAGAAGGGGGTAGAGCAGCTGCTCCCGCAGTCAGCTGCGGGGAGGTGCGCAGGGGGTACTGCTCAGGGCTCCCTCTCCAGAGGGTGCCGTGTTTGGGCGTGCAGGCCTAATGATCCCTCCTGGGCATGGTCCTTCCCAACCCTACCTTATCCCTTAGAAAGGGAGGGAAGACTAATGCAGTGATGGAGCAGCTGATACAGGAGATTCATGAAACATACTGCACTCTACAAAATATCAAATTATTTATTTATATAAAATATAGTACACAACAGTTGTACACATGCACACCCACACAGTACTTTACCACAAATTTAGGCCGGTGATTTTCTTTAATTAAATGTTATAATCTAGCACACGGTATCTTACAGTAATTTACATTATTATCTGAAGACACAATGGGGAAGCTTTGATCATTCATTTATAAACCTTCCATAAATTACAAAAAGAAAGGCAGTCTGAAAAGTATGTATAAACAGTAAAAACAATTTACAAATGGACAAGAATTACAAAATAGTAACAGCCAATGACTGCCATCAATGTGTAAGATTGTTTTGTGTGAGATGCCAATATTGCAATTAATATTTGATTATCATCTGTTGCAGCCTTTTTACTGGCTGCGGCTTGTGTACGTAACACCGTTGTTCACGTCAGGCATGCGCTTTGTCTTGCACCTGACATCAGCAATATGAAAACGCCTTTTAAACTTAGGCCTGTACCGCCGCGGGGGAACGAGCTGGGGAGTAAAGGTGGTGTGGTGGTGGAGTTTGGTTTTTCCACCCCGTGATTTAGAACAGTGAACCAGGAGCTCCGAAACTGGAGGCTGAAACTGTGGGTGAGTCTCTGAATAACTTACTCTGATTTCAGTTTAGTGAAAACGTTGACAAAAGAAATTGATACGAGGGGGGGGGAGGGGTTTGGTTTGGGGAAAAAAATAAAAAGAAGCAAAAAACCAAAATGAAAGCGTTTTGCACAGCACTTTCAAACTCCCAGGAGTTACATCAGACACTGAATGGAGTCGGCAACATAGTACTTGCTCTTCAGTTACCATGTTTGGGGGAGATGAAGACAGTCGAATACACAGTACATACGAAGTATACGCTGTAGATTTATTAGACAGTACAAATCATTGTGCATTAATAAGGCAAAACATCAAGGCGGATTAAACTAGGAGTTTCAAGACCATTTTTGCTCGTGATAAAGATTAGATACAGTGGGGCGAGCTCTGAGCCAGGGATCAATGAGTGGAGTTTTCTTCCCCCGCTCATGGTTAAAGGAGATTAAAGGCTGAGATTTATCCCATGGAGTTGCAGGTGTTGAGGTGACTTCAAACAAAACCATGTTCTTCTGGTCTTAATCCCACCGAATTATTTTTTAGACAGAAAATATCTGCAACAGCACATCCACTTCTTTTTCTCTTGCTGTTTTGATTTAGCAATTCACATGATTCTACTGATGTCAGAGTTAAAAATGCAAAGGTTTGGTAAAGTTGCACTGCATAGTCATGAAAGCCCTAGTTTTGACGTTTAAAAAAAACTAAAAATACACAGACTGGAAGCTTTACAAGTTGTCCAGGAGAACATGAATCATTTCACTGCACCAAGCTTTTTCAGCAGTTTCTTGCCTTTGGAAAGCAGCCCCTTTTTCTTTTTCGAGGACATATCCCTGCCTCTCCCGGGACTACCAGAACCCATAGGTGACGTAGGTGACCCAGAATGGAGATGAACTGTGGGGGATGGTGCTCTCCGGGATGTACCTGTATTCTCAGGAGGAACCTATTAGGTACATTGTTATAATTTATTGAATGTTTGAAGGCTTAAAAAGCTATTATCATCAAGAAAGTTGGTAACATCACTTGTCCCATTACCCACTTCAACAAAAGGGCTGGTTCCTTTCTTTGTGGCTTAAAATGCCGTATGGGCTTATGGAAAACGTACAGACAACAAACAACACTCCACTAGAGCCCTCTTTTGGTTATACTTGTATAAAGTGTTGGATACACTTGTTTTGCCATTGTTCTGGCCACAAAAGCCACAGAACCGGTTTTGGCTTTGCATTTCAGTACTCTGATGGTACAGAAATGGGAGAGATACTTTTAGCTATCGCTTTAAGGAAAGTAAATGTGTTAATTACTGCAGATTACCAATCTCTAGAAGCCAAACTGTTGTCAGAAGAAATTACTTAAAATGCTACATGATCACTTTTTTTTTTTTTAAAATGCCTTTAAAGTTGGCTGGCAAACTATGTACATATTTGAGAGGATGGCACACTGGCTTAAAACAAACAAACCAAAAAAAAAAAAAAGGAGAAAGAAAAAGCTAAAATGAACCTTAATCACAATCAAAGAAAGCTTAAAGACCCTGACCGCTTGACGTGGCGCTGCAGCTGGGAGGTTGCTGGGTGGGTACTTGTACCGTAGTCAGATGGCAGCATTCCTAAATAGGTTAAACAGCTATGGGGTTTTTTGTTTCCAATCAACAAAAGCACTTGAATGAAGGCGCTAAAACTACTGCTCAGCCTATGCTAAGGGCGGGACCTAGCAATTAGGATGGTGTTTCCAAAGCAGTGCCTTGGGGACCCAAGGATGGAGGTAAAACATCAGCAATTTACTGGCCACTTGTGCAACAGTGAGTTAAGCAAAGGGGCTTCAAGCCTACTTTGATTTTAAATCAAGGTCTAGTTCTAATGAAAAAAAAAACCAAACCAAAACCAACTTGGTAAAGCACCCCAACGTACACCTGAAGATACCATGTGTGTAGTCTAATGCATTCATTCCGTGAGCTGCATGTTTCATACGGAGACGTCTATTGCATTGGTAAACCAAACACTGCTGATATTTCAAGTGGAAACCCGAGTGAGTTGGACCACGCGGAGGGGTTTTTAGATTGAAGGGTTGGTCTTAGGCAAAGCGGGGTGTGAGCGATGGTGGAAAGCACGCTTTAAGGCAGACAATTGGCGTAGCTATGTTTGAGCGTAATGAGGTCGGAAACCAACTGTACCCTTGTAAACTACCGTAGGTATCGGCTTGCGCTTCACCTGTACGTTCTTTAAGGGGTGGGGGGGTGTTGTGCTTTTCCTTGACACAGGAACTTGGAATTTTTACATCCCAGGTTGGCTAACAATGCAATATGCAGCTTTAGTTTGTAGGGTAATTAGACATCAAACTCTCCTTTCTATGTAAACATAAACACTTAGCTCATGAAGAAATATGTTCCAAACGTTGACCGTCATAAAGTGAGGGCTGATTGACTTATTCCCAAGGGTTCCTTTTAAAGGATTTGTCTCCTAAGAAAACTAAATAGTCTTGGCGAGATACAGCAAAAGCATACAGCCTGTTCCTCTGTGGCCAAGGGTTTTGGAGACATATTTCTTTTTTTTTTCCCCCACAATTAAGTTTCAAGACTTGCATTAGATAGCCAGGTAGCTTTAACTGAAACCTCTATTGGTATCTTCAGTTGCTCACTTACGTGAAGGCTACATTGCCTTATTAAGGTGTGAAATGAACACTCTTCTTCTGTTTCCAAGCAGATGCCTGTTCCTCTGTGGCCAAGGGTTTTGGAGACATATTTCTTTTTTTTTTCCCCCACAATTAAGTTTCAAGACTTGCATTAGATAGCCAGGTAGCTTTAACTGAAACCTCTATTGGTATCTTCAGTTGCTCACTTACGTGAAGGCTACATTGCCTTATTAAGGTGTGAAATGAACACTCTTCTTCTGTTTCCAAGCAGATGAGCAAAGAAATAAAAATATATATAAAATATATAATATATAAAAAGTATTGCAGTGATGAAACAAAACCAAAAATGAGATACTCTACACACGATTAGTCTTTCATAAAGAAGTCCCTGGGCAATTAACTAACGCTGGTTGGACCAGGGAGGCGTGAGGATTAAGCCGTGAGCGCTGCCAATCAGCCAGTCAGCTGCACTGACATCTGTGTTTAAAGGAATGCTTGTACCAGTCTCCTGCCCACAGGAACTTGTGCTTTCCTCTAGATCCTGCATCGGGTAGGAGTAGGGTAGAAGCATTCGGAAGTAACTACTTTCACCAGGGGAAAGCTGTTGAGACTCAAAAGTATAGCTGATTGGAGGTAACGACTGCAATCCAATGGTAAATTTAGTTCCTTCGTTCACAAATGCGACACGCTAGTGAAGGCTAGCTCAAGTCGATTTTCCCCGTGTTTTATTTCAGATATTCGGAAGTTAATTTTAAATGGGCAAATGGATTTAAAATGTTAAAGGAAATGTCTAAATTATATATGGGACAATGGAATGGAAAGTAAAAAAATTAAGTTTTTCTTATTCGGTTGCTTACCCTTTTTGCTTTTGTACGCGTCGGCGTATCGTGAGCATAGCGCGAGGGTGCGTCGGATACGTAGACTTCAACATCGTCAGGCACTTCTTCAAGGAAGTTGGAAGGAACCAGCCCCTTTTGTCCGTTAAGTTCACCCTGCAGCATGATAACAGTGTCTGTGAATGTTTCCGTTAAAGCAAACACTCCCAGGAGGGAAAGGAAATACTTCAAAGCCAGGGAGGAAGAAGAAATACTCATCTAAGGGCCCGGGGTGCCTTAGGAGCTTACACATTTTTGGGGAGCACAAGAGCTAACGTGTGCAACGGAGAGCCAATGCCTCCCTGTGCTGAGCGGTGGGGCAGGAACTCCGTTCCCACACGGTTTCTAGGCTTGGGTCCTTTGGGCTGCAACGCCACAGCTGTGCCTGGCACCAGGCTGCACGGCCTCAGGTCAACCAGCTGCTCTTTCAGGTCTCTACAGGGGTCACTTCTAGAACAGGTCTGCCAGAGGCGGCTGGGCCTGGTTCCTGTGGCCAGCGGTCCGTGGAGGTGGGAAACAGATGGGCAGCTACTGCCGACAGCTCAGCTGGGCAAGCAGTGCTGGAATACTGCCGCCCAGGCTCCGGGCTGGTTGTGGCCTCTGTCCCCGGGCACGAGTGATGCTGCCAGCACGGTCGGTACCACGGCTGTTCCCCCCCGCCCCAGGTGGAACTGTGGCCTGAGATTCCCCCCCACCTGCTGCCGCTTAGTACTTCAGGCTGGTGAGGTTTGCTCTCCCAGGCTGTAGCAGATTGAAGCGACCGAGCAGATGCCAACTTACATAGTAAAATCCATCTTCATCGATTTCACCGAAGACGGTGATAATGTCCCCTGTGCAGAAGGTGAGCTCAGCCTGCCGGAAAAGGAGCACGTGACAGGGCACGTTGTCTTTGGCAAAGGGTAACGTTTTCTTCATTAATGATAAATCCATCAATATTTTTCCCTCCCCTTTAGGTTAAGACACAATTGGTGAAACCAAATTGAACTTTAAGCGCTAAACCATTTTGGTTTATTTCAAACATTTTCCTTGTTCGGCTTGCTACACCTGGCACCTCTCCCATGGGGTCCCAGACACCCACAGAACTCCAGAGGAGCCGCGTGCAGCCAGACCTTGGAGATCCTCAGGGCTCATCTGTGTGAAGCCGCCACCAACCTGGACAAACTTTGGTGCTTTGTGGCTTCCCAGGTCCCTAAAAGTCAGTCCTGCGCGGAGGGGGTGGAGGGAGGGGACGTGTGGTTCGGCTGCGCGCTCTGCGCTGAGCTGAGCGCTGGGACCGAAGGGTCCCAGAGCGCCTGGGGCTGCTTTGCCTGAAACACAAAGTTCCTGAACTAAAACCGTGGAGCTGTACTGCATTGTGTTCCAAAAAGGTTTGGAACAGGCATCTCCAGTCTCTGATCTGCTCCTCTTTAACTACCAGTGGTTTAAGTGTAATTTAATTAGGTTTTTTAAACTTATTTTTAATTTTCTGTGGCCTTGGGAAGGAGAACAAATAAAGTAGTTGCAGCGGATCAGTACAATTAATGGGATTTGCTGCCCAAACTGCTTTGAAACAGCACCATTTAGAACCAGATTTGGTTTAGTGAGAAATACGAGACAACTGTGGCTGAGCTTTACAGCATCAAGTTCCACGTATTTCAAAATTCACTTTCTCCTTTAAAAAACCCCAAACTGTTCTACAATTCACCCGTAAATAAAGACACATTTCAAAGGGTACCTGAGGAAGCTCCTGGGCACACGCAGCATTTGTTAGCGCTTGGAGCGTACCCGGACATGCTCACCGCAGTGCACACGTAAGGAAACGAGGGACTGGCCCTGTAACATCACCGACATCAGAAACAGCGACTCTGCTGTTGCCGATGACAGGGAGACACGGGGGCTGCTGCAGGCAAATGGGCAATAAACCCCTAATGAGGCTCTGGCTAATGACCAGCTGGTTTGCAGAGGAGGCTCCAGCTGATGCTCAGCTGTTGTTTGAGGTATCCTTACACTGTTACTAAAAACCTGAATTCTAAGAATTCTGAACTATCAACACCAACAGCGTTAGGGCTCCGTTGATGGCAAACACAGGGAACAGTTCAGTCACTTACCTCTACATCCACGTTGGGAGAACTTTCTCTTGGATCATAATCGTACAGCGCCACCATCCTCCGCGTAGACACCGAGTGCTGTCTGCCGCTCCGTCTGTTCCTTTCTGTCCCGACCACATGCAGAGGAAGGGAAGGGAAGCTGTCAAAGTTATTTGGGAAAGCGAACGCGCCACTCACAACAGCGCAGCACCGATGTCGGTGTCCCTGAGGTCGCAGGTGACCAGCCCCATTAACACCGGGGTGAGAACAGCATGTGCGCTTCATAAGAACTTGTGCGGTCGGCGAACCCTCCTTGTTCTAAGGCACCGAATCCTCCACACAGGATCTACCCGCCAAACCGACGTTCCGACACTTTCAGCCCCTCTTGGTTGCAAGGGTCAGAGGAGACCAGGGTGCACAAAGGCCAACATTCAAAATTCAAGTTTGTTTCATCTTATTCAAACTTTCACATTTACTGGCTGTCTCCTCCCCCCTCCCCTCCTAATCACAAGGAATTTTGTGCCTGGGATTATTCTGCTTTCTGGAGGGAGACCGGAAGGAGGAGCAGACACCGAGCTGACCCGACCAAGGAGGCTGCCCGCTACGTCAGAGATGTGCACCGTGTTCAGGACTGACTACAAAACCACGTTCTCAAGTGCTGTTCAATTTTATGGTTTTCCTTTGCGGGGAAGAGAAGGAAAGGATTTTGTAGTTCCCAGGAACCACGTGAAATGTTTATTGATTGATATTAAACATTTACTGAGAAGCCCAAACTGGGCTTCATTTTTAAGGGTATTAGCATGATTCTTGGGGATGATGGCTGCAGCTCAAGAGAAACATGCTGCTTGGTGCCGCTACAGCCGGGGCATCGGGCTGAGGGGCAGTGTGGAGTGTGACAAGGGACAGCTGGGGTGAGGACACCCTGCGCTGGTGCTGGCAGGAGGGGAAGGCTGAGGGGTCGGCTGCTGGAGGAGCAAATCCGGAGCGGAGCATGCACGCACAGCTCCCGCGGCACCCGCCAGCTGGCACTGAAGCATCAGAGGAGATCGCTTACTTGTGCAGCGGGTGGCTGGGAGTTGTGTTCCCAGCTACGCCCACCAGGGATTTACACAGAACACAAGGAGAGATCCAACCTGAAGGCATGGATTGTAACAGACATGGACCCAATTCCCCTGACTCCCCAAAGCCTGGACCAACCCAAACCTAAAAGACTGCCTTGGAGTTGCAGTTTCCTTTTTGAAGTACTTCTCTGGGGCAAGACATTGCCCATTGTTCAGGGTCAAAAGCCCCTCTGCTCTCGAAAGGGACCCTCTACCTAACCTAATTGCTACGTGACAGTGTTCTCCAACTTTCGGTTTCCGAAAGTTCAGAGGCACAAAAAAGTAACTCCAGGCAGCTCAGATAATTTCAGCTATTTCACAGCTTTAATCAAGTTATTGGTTCTTAACACAGACCTCTCTTAGGCTTTCTGGATCTGCGGAGTACAGAGCGTGTGCTCTCTTTGAAACGGTCACAGTTGGCTTCAGGAAAGGAATGCATACAAATAAAAGAAGAAAAGAGATGAAGCTGTTCAAAGTTCTGTTTTTAAGGATTTAACGTGGGCAAAGGATTAAGAAAAGAATAGTCGTATGAACACAGCATGTAAAGTGTCTGATATGACATCAAAAATATGAGTAACAACGTGAGACAGAGTGGTCATTGGAGCCTGCTTCTGCTAAGAATCTGGGTGGGCAGCCTCTGTGACGGCGAGGGTCTGAGCATGCGCATCTCTGCTACTCAGACTTTGTATTCAGTTTAAAATTAAGCCAAACTAACTTTTCTTCCCAAATCTATCAGGAGGAGGATCTGTTGTTGTTTAAAATGGCTAAGAATTTAAAGAGAAAATACATGATGCTTTCAAAGCGTGAAAATATTTAAAGGTGAACTGCTGGGGGTAGGTTGCTAACAGCTCGCCCAGAAACATCCCAGAATATAAAGTATTGCTTAAAAATGTAACGCAAGGCAACATTTCTGTCACAAATTGCCTGTCCCTCTTTCCGAGAGAGAGACTTTCTGATTTCTCAGCTATTTCAGGAGACACTGCCAGTTATGCACCGCCAAAAAATCCACTTACATTTGCAAAGTATGACCCTCAGACAGGCAAAAGATTCAAATTACGGGGAGCTACGTAGAGTACTGGTTTCATTTCACGTGTTCTGTATGAACTTGCTGACCTGGGTAAGGATTGAGAGCATGGAGCAGGACTTGGAGCACTAACTTTCAGTCGTAGCTGCTGAGGAAGATCCTTTCTGCACCCACAAGTGACCTCATTGCTAGGAGTAAGAGGTACACGTAGACTCCTGGTGATCCCAGCAGGCCCCAGTGGGGTTACAGATGCACCTAGAGCAGGCCAGGTGGCTCATTCTAAGAGGCTTCCAGGGCTGTGACCTATGCAGAAGTGCTCACTCCCGCAGGATAATGCTGCAGGCAGCCAACCCCCTCGGGCACATCTGGAAGTGCCACCGTGTGCCTCTCCCAGGCTTTTGCCCCGGAAACGTACTCGGAGGGGGATGTGCTGTGCCTGCAGGAGCAGACAGGCAGTGGGGTGTACAAGCACATGTGGGTGGGCGTGCCTGTTCTGTTCATGTGCCCTAAGTACATAAACACACCGGTTTGAATTAAGAACTCAGTTAAGGATTTAAGAACTTAAACCACCCTTGCCTTTCATGGACAACGGAGAACTTTGAAATACCTCAATACCTCAAAGAACCAGCAGAAAATAATTTGTCTCAAATTTACTAATACGATTTTGGAAACACTAAGGTTTTGTTCAATCTAACAAAACATTGGAAGATTTCTTTGGGGTTTTTAGCAACCACTTTTACAGTTCACGTTTAAACAGGACTGAACCAATTCCAGCCCTTTATACTCTCGGAATCACGTTGAAACATTTAAAACATACCGAGATAGTTGTGTGAAATTTATTTTTAGACGGAAATCCAAGTTAGGATACTCGAGTTGTCTGTCTGCGTACAACACTGACCCAGTGATGTAATACAAGTGGTTCATAACAGAGAATTGTTTGGCCAAACTCTGCTTTTTAAAGGGTTTGTTACTGCAACACCCACAGAATCTCATAATACGTAGTGCTATCCCAAACGAGATTACACATAACCCTTTGCCACCACCCCTTTAAATTGCTGGTAAAGTGGGAAAGTGTAGAAGAGTAAAGATAACCACAAATAAGTGGTTCTTTTTATGCTCTGCAGCAGTGAGTGTATCACAAAGCACCTCAGCACAGCACACTCCAAAGCACAGGGGTCATGGTCTGTGTCGAGAAATCTTTCAGGCGACAAACCCCATTTTTTTTGTAAATAAGAAAAGAAAGCAATGAATGGAGTGGGGAAGACACAAGACCTCGTTTGCAGCAAGAGACACGACCAAGATTAAATACGAGTTGAATAAAGTCACCCAGATACTGACACAGAATGTATCCCCTGGGGTAGTAAACTGCTGTAAAATTCAGATGCATCTGCATATGGTTAAAAAACAAAGGCAAAGCGGATCCAGCCAAGTTAACAGCACCCAAAAGTTCAGAGAAGTGAAGCGTATGTATTTTCCTTACCGATTTTCTCAACTGGAGTGTTCAGAGGAAGAAAGCCTTGTTTTAGAAGCTGATCCATCATCTCCTCATCGTCTGCTTGGATCTCAGAGACCATATTACATGGGATAAGGCCAATTCTTGTACAGGTTTCTCCACGATAGAATCCATCAGCATCTTTGTCCCCATAAACCTGTTGTTCAAAGGGCGAGAATGTGGGTGAATAAAGGTTTTAGGAATTTTGATACAGGCTAAATGGTCACTACAGCATAGACAACTAAAGATGGTTACTAAAGATGACCGCAGTTTGGATGTGGAATTACGTCAGTTTTTGAACGCTCTGACTTATGTTACAAAACTGGAATTGTTAGGTTAATTTGAATTATGACTTCAGACTCATAAGAAGAATTTGCACTTTTTTTGTTAGCAGTGAAATGCACAAGAAGCGAGAGACACCATTAAAAGTCACCAGTTTCTCCCTGCACTGAGCCAAAAGCACGCTTCATGGCTTACACTCACGCTGATGGTATTAGTCCCATGGCACCGTTTTTGGTGCCATGTGAACGATATTCAAAATGAAGCATTTGCAAAAGTGTGCCAAGTGTTACGACTTGGAATGGAACAACTTGCATATGATCAAAAATGCCTGCCTAACAACGTACTTGATACGTGGACTTGCTTAAGCTCCGCTCTCATCTTTCCAGAAAATGTGAATTAAGGTATAAAAATAGGTGAATTTTCATCAGGGAGATGGTAAATCCAAAATTCCTCTCAAATTCTAAAAACGCAGTCAATTCATAAAGGCTACTAACGATACAAAGGCCTCGATCGATGGCTGTACTAAACAAAATGACGTTCTTAAGGCCAAACTGATGACTGAGTTTAGACTGTTCCTTGTTTAGGCTCAATCACCTGTTTTTCCTTTTCCTTAAAACCAAACAGAACCCCCAAACTAATTCCTTCAGTTCCAATCAGAGTTCATTAGAAATAACCTATGAATAGCTTCAACCTTTAGTGTTTTCAGGTTTGATCACTACACACCCCCGACTTTCCCGGCACCAACACCGCTTCGCGCAGCCCAGCACGCGGGACCGCAACACACGCACAGGACAGACTTCCTACAGCTCAGGGTGGAACCGCCCCGCCACCATCCCACTGCTCAGGTCACGCAGGAGAAGTGTTTTGAAAATGCAAACTAATCCATCTTCACAGCAATTTGATGAGAAATTCACAGCAGCAGCTCCCACAGTAACCACCACGGTCCCAAATACACTATCAACGCCGCTGAGAAGAAATACCTGATGTGGAATCTCTCTAGATTTTTCAGAGCCAAACACGTACGTATTTGTGAGGAAATAATGAAAATACCTGAGTGAAATGAACATTCTTGCAAAGAAAAATAAGCTCAAGTTCCATGTTTTTGGCATGGATCTTCTATGACGTAAGGAGATAAGGAGACTACCTAACGCTATGGACATCTGTGTTAGGCCCCGGCCCAGCACAGCGGAAGGCAGGCAGGATTCTATTAGCTGAAGTTACCGTTTTCCCTCTGAAATGGGCAGCGTAACGAACGAGCGGACATTGTTTCAGGTTCCCTTTCAGCTCACACCGAATCCTCACTGACCCTTGGGCTACCAGCAGCTGCTCCTCATGCCCGTTTTGCACCAGACCGCTGAGGCAGACGGCTGCAGGACGGGATGCTTCCGTCTGCTGAGCCAGCAGGAAACTCTGCTAGCGGTTTCAAACCCGCTCGCCAACCGGAGCAGATCTGCCTAGGAGCTGCACAGTCGTGAGGTGAGGCACGCCAGGATCGAGGGATGGCTAAAACCATGGAACCTAACGCAGTCCCCATCACCTGAGGCAGGGCTGGCCCCTGCACCCCGTTTAAAGGCAGCTCACGTGTTTTATACCAGTCAGGGAAGGGAGCGGTTTTCCCAGGTTCAGAGAAGGATGAGTCTGAAAGAGAAGTACTTAATTTTTGGACCTTAATTAATCTTAAGCGTGCATTAGCTGGGAGTGTTCAGCATCTAAACCAAACAGAGCAGCCCTGGTACGCAGAAAGGTACAACACGACGCACTTGTGCGGCACCTCTGCAGGAAAGGCACCCGCTCTGAAGCCGTTTTTCCTGCAGGGTTTGTGGCAGAGAACACAGGGGGCTTCAGAGTCTCCATTTTGGTCTTTGCCCCTAATTCTCTAATGGAGCCTGGCCCTAATTATCTATAGCAACTTGGAGATTTTTGCCCAGTACCTCATTACTTTTAAGCCATTAGCACTAGGTGTTCGGTTCCAAAACCAGTGGGATTTACAGAACCTCTGGAGGAAAAAAACCCATGACTGTAGTCACACAAGTTGCTTTCTCCACGGGGAACAAGGAGACCCTATCTGTAAACCTGGGGCCTTTGTTTGCTTTGGTTTTAGATCCCACCTTGATGATCTGTCCTTCTTTAAACGGCAGCTCTTCTTCTGCAGCGTCAGGATTTGGGGACATCGTCAGCGGGTCGTAGTCAAAGAGTGCAACAAATATTCGAGTAGAAATATCCTCCGTGCCAGGATCTGTTTCTGATTCTTCATAAATATCTGGAGAAAGATGGTCGTGACCACCATAGCCATCTGTGAAAGCAAATTCAGAAAAGAACAATTCAGTGACAGAAGGTGGCCTCTTCTTTCAGCTGTTCCAGGTAATACTTGACAAATGTTTGGCATTGCAGTGAAAAAAAAAGAAAAATCAATAACTTAATGCACGTGCTATTACGCTTGGTGAGAGGTTGTTGGGTTTTTTTAAATTGGCAAGTTGTTATTTCTTTAAAAAGCATATACAGTCTGCATGCAGGGAGTGGTCTGCACCACACCGACATTCACCCGTGTGAATGCAGCCCAGGTACGAACCCAGTTTTTGTTCGGTTTCCTGGAGTCTGCCATAAGTGAACGAAGCACGTTAAGAGTGACATGAGTCTGACAGGCTTTATCACCCCTGCAAAGACATCCATGCTTTGGATCCACCTGTTTTCCAGCACAGCTGCTTCTGCTCTTCATGGACACAAGAAAGCACGTCCCAGCTGTGTTGACAAACCATGTTTTAGGTACCAGGTTTAAAACATGGTTCCAATCTTTTCTCTCCAGACAGGCAAGAAGAAATGTATTTCAGCAGCGTTAGTTACGCCAGGGTTGGAAGCACACCGCCTGTGGTTTTGTTCCAACACAGTTAACATAGCCAGCGGCGTGCCAAGCCAACCCAAACGCTAACGCCCTGTGTTAAGATCCAGGAGGAATGGTTAGCTACGGCTGCCTTGAACCAGCAGCTCACGAGGAAGGATCATCCCTGAGCGCCACAACACTTGACACTGCACTGAACTCTGTCCGCTGCAGGGCACCAATCAGTTAGGACACAAAACCCGAGAGCTGACGTTTTGTCTCATACATCTCAGACTTTTCAAGTGACCTGGAGAACGTGTTCAGCCCCTGACTCAACAGCGCACTTAAGGACAGATTTCAGTAAAAGTGAATTAGGCCAAAAGTGGGAATAATGATTCATGCGTTTCAAAGGCTTTAAATTTTGATTTGAAAGAGCATGTGGCAGTGCTTTCCCAAAAGACAGGCTCTTTCAAGACATATGAAGTTGAAATCCCCAAAAATAAAGCCCTCAAAATCACAAGCCACTTCCGAAAAACTCGGCTTACTGTGCAAGTCCCACTAACTTCAGCGGGAGTCATGTACCTTTGCTCTTTGCTGAATCAATACTTATCACTTTACAGGATCCTTCACAAGGAATAAACTGAGAAAGTGATGTCATAAATTAAAATGAAAATGTAGTTCAACTATATCAAAATTTTTCTAAACAATTTTCATATTAATGCAGTTTTTACTTCTTACAAATCAAAGACTCCCATTTTTTGTAATAGTTTAAACATTCAGTATGAAACTTTTTGGATGTAATTGCTCTTCTTGCCTCAACATCAGATTTATTTTATTTAACATTTGGTATTTTAAACTACTAGCAAAAAATTTCAGATGGTCACAGCTTGAAGGGAACTGCTACTAACTCTTGGGTCCAGAGCGCAAGAAAGACTGTGAATAGGGAAAAATGCAGAGCAGCAAAAGGGCAGGGAAAAGTTCCAGCCAAGAAGCTTTAGGCAGGCACAAAGCACAGAACGGAAGTGTGGGAGAAGGGCACATGTGGGACAGAAAGCAATGGGACACAAAGGATGGGATTCTTCTCTGTTCTGTTCTCCTCCCACAGGCAGGTTGCAGTCATTCTGTGGGTCACAGCAAGCCCACCAGGCACCGTAAAGCAGGTGGGCTAAGAGGTGGTTTGTTTTTTAAATTAAAAAATACCGATTTCTGCATCCAAGTCCAGCTGCAGTTAACTGGGGTTAGGTGCAAACGTGGGTTACAGCCAAATGCCTCTGTTAAAAGCACTGGCCTGTAACAATCTGGCTCAGAACAGTCACGTTTGCTTCAGGGAACCAGAAAGCAAATAATCTCCTGTTTAGCTCATTACCCACTTATTCTTTCGAGAGGTACGTACATGTATCGTACACACACAGACATAACGGTGCGTGTAAAACCTTTGGATGCAGCCAGCCAGATTCCCAACAGAGGCACGGAGGCAACCACAGTCGCACTGAGCTCACGAGATGTAGGCCGACAGGCAGGAGCTGATGACCTGCTTGTCAGTCAGTCAGGTACATTTGTGTGCAAACCCGACATTAAATCGTGATTTACCTGCACTTCCAGGGCCCCTTTTCTTTCATCTCAGATATTTAACAACCTGTGTTTCGTAGCTCTGTATGTGGCCTGGGCTGCTTTTATGGGTTGTGTTAGACACTTCACTGTGTTATGAACTATGAGAACTGAATTGTTGATCATGTAATGATTTCTATGTTGATGAAGCAACAAATACTATCAGTAGTGGGTGTAATTGCCTTACGCACATAATGCAAGTTTGGCACTATGATGCAATTATTCCTAAAATTAAGAATAATGTTTGTCTTCACCAACTGATACGGCCAAAGTCCTGTGTGGTCAGGGGAAAGACCCCCCAACCTTTGTTTAGCCCAAGCAGTAAATCAGAGTAACGTTTTGTAACTGCTTCCCATGACTGGACGTTGGGCTGCGATTCACCAGCTACTCTCTGTCCCGGAGTGGTCTGTACGAACCAAGAGGAGACGGGCCGTTCCCACGAATGGCTGTTAGGGGTGTACAGTAAATACTGACTGGCATTGTAGCAGCAGAGCTTCACAGAGGTTCATGCAATGCAGTGTGCTCAGACTCAGTCGAGTATGGAAAGGTGGCTGCACAGCAGTTTCAGGACAGAGGACTACGGGCGGTTTGTCCCTGAGCTGGAGGAACTTACCTGAGAGCAGAGAGGACTTGGGAGCTAGTTCCCTGGCATTCTGCATGGCATGCAACGCTGTCGTACCGAAACCGCGCCGGTAACACGCAGCTCTAACACGTGTCTGTCACAAAGGATGAATAATGTTCGGCATACCGTATCTAGATTCAGAGGCCATGGTACGCTGCCGGGGCCATTTCTGGTGTCCACCAATGCTGCGATAATAAGCTTCTTCTTTTACAGGTGAAATATTTCCCTCACTACCTGACCGAGACCGACCGCCTTCACTGTTACTGTCCATTGTAATTTCTATGGAGAAAAAGGGAATGATCTATTAAAACATATTGTATAGTTGCCTTTGCGGAGGCTCCTGAGGGCAGGCTTTGCCTACCTTTTTTTTCTGACTGGCATGTAGTAAGAAGGCTAAACACTGCATAAGCTTTGCCAGATGTCTCAGCCTCCAGAAATCCTTCATCAGGAGGGGAATCACAGAAAAGTGTATCTCCCCTTATTAAAGCATCTGCATTTTGTGCTTTTTAAAATTCACACAGTGTAAATATTGTTCGTTAGATTCTTGGATAGGAATCATCTCTTATTATGAGGTTTAAACAATCCTACCTGCCAAATCTGCAAGGTCAAGAGCACTGTAAACTGTGTTTCACCTTCTAAAGTATCCACTTAAAACCAAAAAATTAATTAATTTACTTAAATCCTACCTGCAAGAAGACACTAATCCAAAGTATTGCTAGATTAAGGGAGAAAATATCTCAAAGAATTTAAATTCTGGAACACTTTGGAGAAAGGTTTTATCATTGGAATCCTAAGGACATTTCCATTTTGGAGGTCTTTCCCACTAATTTAACCTCCCAGCGCTGCCTTAAGAACTTTCCATCACTAAAGCGACCCTTTAGCTGAATAACTCAGTACTAACTCCAGGCGCACACATAAAGGAGTAAGCTGCTGCCAGGACACTTGGAATCCACGCTTCTGAGCTATATGCTGGGGCCAACAACAGTTTCATGTATTTAAACAGTCTAAATGCAGAACTATATCTGACTAAACTGTGGCTCAATTGTATTTGCTTTCTTCTTTCCTTTTATTCTACTCTGCTTTTCATGCTGTGGAACTACATACTGTAATGACACAACTGTAACAGACTTGCAGCCCTTTTTCATGGGAAACTTCCTCTGCCAGTGGGAGTTCTGGAGAGCGGGGTCAAGTTTATACAATGCTTTACGATATGCTTTTGGATGCCCTACTTCTACCACATTTTATTTATCTGACCTCTTGATACTTTTCATATCTTCTAAATTATTTTCAGCAGGCCTACAGGAAACAACTTTTGTGCAGAGTTTTATCGAGTGTTTATTTTTCCTTCACTTCTCCTCAGATTGATTTATTGCAGTAGGATGCTGAAAGTGAGAAATAATGCATACCCATCTTTCAGCAACTTTAATCATTAGTCTTTTAGTCAGAAATTAGAACTCTCTAACCCTAAGCTACATAAGGCCTTTCAACAACTCACAGCAAAGAGTTTCTTTTTGTTAGTTGCTGGATAATGCTCAGTAGTTTGCCTAACGGTACCAGCATCAGACAATATTGTAATTTATTCCTAACGGAACGTCCCTGAAGACCATTTGTGGATTGTACATAATACAAAATACACTACTGCATTATTTAAGTTACACTGTTTAGTTGACTATCAGAAATTAATTTCTGTATCTGATTCCTAAGCTGTTGCTATTGAACTACTAAACAGTGAAACCACTTTGTGGTTTTCATGTCCTAGCTGTGGACACAAAGTGAGCTCTAACCAAGTTAATAATTTCCCTTATTTTTTAATTAAAATTAAAACTAAAAGGAAACCTAGGAGATTAATTCAAACAAAGCTGTCTCACTATGTATTAAAAAAAAAGTTTTAGCAGATACTATAAAAGAACTTAAATACCAAACTTGCTTTAAGTAGTCCCAACATAAACCAGAAATCTTTACTCCTGCAAAAAAAAGGCTGCTTTCAGAGAAAAAGGCAGACAGACATGAAAATCTAACAGTGCTCACACCACCCTCCAAAAGCTATTTGATCCAGCTAACAGTAACTTGTCCACAGAACCACAAGAGCCTCCCTGGAGCTGACTCTCCCCCATACCATTTTCATGCCAGTGTAATTCCACTGACATCTATGAAGAACATCTTGGTTTACACCAGGATGTGGGGGGAGGATCAGCCTCAGAACAGCCGTGCTGCACTGAAGACACTCGGAAAGTTGCCTGCATTACAGCTGTGTGTGGTTTCTGATTATGGTTTCAATAACAGTAATTACTACCCACTAGATTATCAAAGTAATTGTGCCCATTAGGGGGATTTTGCTTTTAATTTATAGCACAGGCCTTTTAATGTGAGTCTATGAAAAGGGAAAAATATTTAATATTTAAAAATAAAAGCATTCCTTAATGATCAGTCTCTTTCCTCCTGATAATCCCCATTTGTGATATCACTTACTGATATAAATGTCAGGTAAGAATTAACTAACACTGCTTCCTCCTCCTCCTAATGATGCCTACAGTATCCACAAATTAAAGTCCAGGTTAGGGACAGGAACCGGACCGACTTTACATATTCATGGAGTAAAGTTCTGTTACTAGCTCACAGAACTCCTTCTGCTTTTGTTTTGCACGTGTTTCCTGATGATCAGTGTGAATGTTTCTTATTTGTCAGTATAGAGTGCAAGTTTTAACAGATACGTATTTGTCCATAGTGACTTGATTCCATTATCTTTGCTGCACTACTTTTTGGATTTTCTGGCATACACCAGCACATAGTTTAAGTCATAAGTAAGCCAGAATAGGGATGGTTCTATAAGAAGTACCAAATACAGTAAATATATGCAAGTTCTACTAACTTGTTACGTTTAACATTTTTCCTGCTAAATTCCAAAAAGTAGTCAAGAAAATGGAAAGTGAATGCAAAATGATGGTGGTTAATGGAAAGATGGATGGCTGAATGGATGGCTGAATGGGTACATTTAGTTTACTGATCATATAGCAGCCTGCCTGCGTTATAATTTCTTCTTAAGTAAAACCTGACAGTACCTAAGCTTAATCAAGCTTAGAAAAACTCCAACACCCACTAAATTCAATGAAAACACTCCCAGTGATGTTAATGACTACTGAATCAGCCCCCTTTGAGACCCCAATGCATTCATATTTAGATGGAGATGGTTTTAGTACCATTTTCATCCCATTTAAAGTAGCCATGGTTCAAGACAAGTGTCTGTCGTTTTGTTTTTAAGGACCGCCTTCCCAACTCTGAGGCTGCAAAGAACAGAAATGCACCAATCTCTCCAACTAACCAATGGAAGGGACCAACATTGGTCGAGACCTTTGTGGCACTGCACTGCCATGAGAGGACCTTCGCCCTGCATGCTCCGCCCTTTCAGGCCGTCCTGCAGATGATGGATTACCTAAAAGCTAAAAAAAACAACAACAGAAAAAACAGGTTTGTAAGTTACGTGCATGGCAACATTATGGTTACGTGGTTGGACATTATTCAGGTCAATCACACTTGGAAGCATAAGCTCTAAAGGCAACTAAACTTAGTTTTTAACTGAAAGGTTAGCTGAAAAGCAAAGACTGTTGCCTGGCAAACCTGCAAAAGAAAAAAATGGTTCCCTGATTTATGGCAGAGTTTTGTAACCAGCAGTCACACATCAGAACAAAAAGAAAAGAAAAGAATAATTTTTGAAATATTCTTTTGCCTTTGTCGTTGCCGCTAAGATGACGCTACAACCTCCTGAAGAGTAGTACGCCCGGTCACGAGAGCTGTGGAGATTGGGCTGCACTGAAAAGGCCAGCCTTTTTTGTATTCAGCTCTATGGCTTTGTCCAGTTTGCAGCATGTGAACAAGTGCACATCCTTCTGTCTTTGAGCATGCTGCTTTTCTATCATGGCCTTCGGTTGTTAAAGCCTTTTAAAGGTCACTGAAACAGGTAGAAGGGAATGTAGACACACGGTCTCGCATCACAGCTGTCTCTGTTCACTACCCTTGCAGAAAATGTTGCTATTTTAATAACTAAATGGTACGGTTTAAATGCTCTCCAGGGTTTATCATGCAGTCATTGAGATTAATGCAGCTTGGGCACCAATTTTAATGGGAGAAATTTTTAAGGATCGTTTCAGCATAAACTCTAAGGCCAGAAGAGCAGGCAGCTGGTTTCTACTCTTACATGAGACACATGAGAGCTGAGGTTTCCACTCGGGACTGCTGCAGACTGAGAGGGTAAAGAACTTGCTTTGGTCTTTAGGGAGCAGGGCAGCCTACAGACGCATCTATCAAAGCGTGGAGACTCTGCTATACGTTAACGGACAGAAATGCAAATAGGCAAGATCACGCAGAGGCATCCTCGAAAGATATGGAATGGCTCTGGCCTCTCCCTTTGGAAGAAGCTGTTTGCCTGCATTCTCACGCAGAGATGCAGTCTGCAACTTCAAAGGCAAGAAGAGATGGTCTAAAAAGGAAGGCAAAGTGGTGACAGTGCAGAGATAAGGTAGAAAATGGAAATACGATGAAACCCATGAGTCCATAAATCTGGGTCACTGTCACACTGGGGGAGAATCTTGATTCTTGTCCAGAGATGTTTCATGATAAAGACCATATTCTGAGGATTCTGGGAATGAGGTGAATAAAAACAACATGATGAAATGAATTCATCTACATTGAAAAAAAAAAAAAATTACAGATGAAATATTTTTTCCAGTTAAAATGGAGCGTTTTTTTTAAAAGCAACATTTAGATGGGCAAAATAAAGAAAAACAATCTTTTGGAAAAATTATAGTTCAGCTAACCCTTAATTAAAATTTAGATTCAGTTGTCCTTTAATAAAAGCAGCCATTACTGTAATTTGTTCTGTGGGAAAATCATTGTAAAGCAAATTAAACTGATTTCAGCATGACACAAAAGAGGACTATAAAGGAAAATGCAGAAGAATAAACAAAAATGAATGGAGAGAAAAAAAATGGGGACAAAAGTAGCAGATACGTCCAAAGGATGGACTCTAAAAGTTAACTCAGAAAAAAAACAGAAAAATAATTTTTAAAAAAGAACAAAAGAAAGAAACCAGACTGATTTGGCAAGCAGATGTTAGAAGGAAGATTTATTTCACACACCAGAGAGTCTTCTGCATCTCTGTGGGATGGCCTTGCAAGTAGACCAGCTGCCCTAGAGTCAGCCATTTTTAAGTCGGTCTTCCAGCCTCCCTGAACATCTTCATTAGAGAAATTATCTGTTCTATTACATTTCTGAGTCTCATACTTTTTCTCATAACTGGGCTTCGCCTGTTCACTCCTGGGCTCCACAAAGGAAGGACCCAGGTCACCGAAATCTTCTTCGATGCTGGTTTGTCTGGTTAAAGTTTTCCTGCGAGCAAGCAATGGCCTCATGCTTTTCCTGCAGGAACAGTTAGCACTCTCTGCACAACAGCTAGATGCAACGTTGGCAGAAACTGAATCGCAAGTGTATCTGAAATTAAAACGAGATTCTTCTTCTTCACTTCCACAGTCTAGTCCACTGTCTGGGCTTCTCGATAAGGATCGGCTATATTTACATCCTTTGTCGTCTGCAGCAAAATCTTCCATGCCTGAAATTCTGTGCTTGGCTGGGTACCAGGAGTTGTGCTGCTGGTCTTGATTGTAGGGCCTAGGTGGTCTAGAGTCTCTAGCTACTGTGGGATTCTTTTTATAGGGCATACCTAAACCCTGCTTGTACAGCAGTTCAGGGTATTCACCATCCTCTTCAGCTACTTCTGGAATACTGAAAAGCTTTTTACTGTGATGTATCTGCTGTGAAAAGTCAGGCTGTTCCAAAAAAGTGGCTTCAGTGGTCTTAGCGCACTCCTTAAGATTATGTAATGTTAAAAACCAGACAGGGAACAAATAGTGTGTGACAAAAATAAAATGGGAGGGAAAAGGGAGAAGAAAAGAAAAATAAAGACAGAATTAGTTTTAGAGCAATGGCAAACGTAACACATGCAGCTTATTTAGTGAAAAGGATGTCATGCTTTGAATGAGATTCTGTGAAAAATAAAGCCATGATTAAGAAGTTGCTGGGCATCAGATACAACATGGGAGGTCAGTACAAACAACTGAGTGATGCTCTTACCAGGAACAAACCCATGCATTTAAAACAAAGCGATAAAAGCTGCGTACACGTTCCAGCACGATGAATGAGAATGGCAGTAAGACACGGCACTGATGCTTAGGATGTTCCTCGCCCATGCCAAGTCGCTATTTCATTTTTCTTTGTAACCAGAACCCGTATCTGAGCATGACAATTCTGTTCTAGCGACCTTGCTTTCCTTGCATCTCTTAAAGCATCCTGTGTGAGCAGCAAATACTCCTCCATCTCCTGCCAGAGGAGGGCTTTTCCGCAGACATCATTAAAGGAGTTACAGTTTCCTCTGTAAAACTGTAAAAAACCTGTACCATTTCAAAAGCTTGGCTTCTGCAGAAAGAACCCTGGGAAGCAGGCTGCTCTCTGCCCTCCCTTGGTCTGCACTCTCGTCAAATCTCTCATCATAATCTCGTACCTGCTCGACAAAACCAGCATTTGAAAATCGGCCTATTAGCAGAAGTGAGTAGCACTTTACACCAGAATTAGGTAAAAACTAGGCTGGCCTGGATAAAGTGAGAATTCTGAATATGATGGATACATTTTGTAATCTTTCTGTTACATTTACACACAACACAGGTTGATGTGACTGAAGGATCCTAGGCACTGTCTGTTGGGCTCTGGAGAGGAGACAAGAGAACAATGACGCAGGAAGCGTTGGTTTTGACTGGCATGGATTATAGATCCCACATCATGGAGATCACCTCTCCCTGTACTTCACTCAGTGCCCAGATCAGGGAGGTCTCTGGACACAGCAGTACCCATAAACAAGGACAGGATCATCGTGGAGACTTCAGCAATACCTCTGTGTCTCTGAGCATGTTAAACTTAACCGGGATTTGGATGAATTCCCCTTTCAGGCATTAGGAACTTTCTCACTTACTTTATGACGGTATTTGTTTCACCCACTTTCATTCATTTTTAAAATACTTTTCACATTTGCAAAACTTTTGAGACAAACTGCCATAGAAGTGGAAAAAGTCAATAAGTATGAACAGGGTTAGTTCTGAGTGGAGCTCAAATATCCCACATTTTAGAATGCTCAGATCAGGTGGGTGAGTTGAATCTTCCCTTGACCACCTGTATCAACCTTTGTTTTAGGGAACCATAGGAGGGAACAATAATCTCCCAAAAAAGTAAACATGTATCTGCATGCAAAATGTTTTCCTGTTACCTAGGGGCATCTATTAATTTGGGAGAGAATACTCAGTTACAGCTGCAAGGGCATGATTGGCATAGCTTCAGATGCAAGAGGAACAGGAATCTGATTACATTATGGAAAATTCAGTAAACATGTTGTTCATTTTTTTGATAATTACTGATGTTACAAAGTGAAACTTGATCTACTGAAAGAGGGGGAAATTATTGAGAACTTTGGGATCAGATTCTGACCTGCATTTTATATCAGAAAGCTCATCCACATGGTGGGCCATATTCTCCAAATGAGACTCAGACATTCTTGAGTCCTTTCCCAGGATGAATTCCTGGATTCATACCCTGAATTCCACTTCTGCAGAATGAGTCAACCAACCGTACCCTTCACACACACTGCTGCACCACGAGAAGTATGCCTGCAGGCTTTAACAGGTCCTAAAATTATTTACTACACCAATTAAGGGTCTGGACCTTTCTTTTTAAATATCAACACTGGCAATACTAACTTAAAAATCAAGAAGTAAATATACTTTCTGATGCGTAAAAACCAGGAACAGTGTAGGGATAAATCACCTTTTCCCAGAGGAAAGGGACAGAAGCAGCATGCAGAAGGATTTCAGTTTCAACCTTTATGTTAGCAGAATAACAGAAGCACTGATTATTTTTTTCTTTTGAAAAAGTACCTGTGTCATCCCAGATAGTATCAGAATAAAAGGACTGAATTTATAGTACATGAAAGCAGTTACAAGAATGGTCAAAATTCTTGTAGAGTATTGATTTTTAGTTAAATACCAGTATATTGAAAAAAATTCAACTTGTAGGTTTCCTTATCATTGAAGTTATCCATATTTCTAGGAAAACACAATTTAGCGTAATTGCTAGACACATAAAAAGCAAATACAATTTTCATGTACAAATATGCTATGGGAAATACATATTCTGTCGTGGGTAGGTTCAACATTCTACATATGCTTCCACTGTTATACTACAGTTGTCTTTCATGATGAATATTCCTGTGTTGTGTTAAAGCAGTATTTCTGACAGGTATTTCTTACTGTCTCTGGTGATTCCTTAATAATCTGAGCATGAGGATTTCTGATAACGTATTTATCAAACAAAGCTGGAAGAATTGGGACTAGCACTGGAAATGGGGAAAAATTACTCAGACGTGAAAAACCTAATTTTTCCCCTATATGTATGTATGTTCATATAGATCTCCTTGCTCAGAAACAACTCACTGTCTGAGCAGCACCTGCAGTATACAGTTGCATAGATGTGGGAAAGGTCCCTAGATATAAACAGAAATTGCAACTTCAACAATTACATATAGGAAAACAATCAATTAGTTGAAAGATTAGCTTTCAAGTAAAGCAAAAAATAAAAGTAATAAACGTATTAAAGTGGCCTTGCCATCATAAACAATGTTCATCCCAACTCTAGGTCTGTACAACAGTGTGAGTTTTAATGGTCTGCAAAATCCATAACTGACTAAAAGAAATGCTTGGAAGGAAGAATCGAAACACAGAGGTTCTCCTAATGTTTCCCTGCAGCCACGCTTACCTTAAGCGCATTGTGTGAAGTCACACTGACTCGTCGCCTTCCTCCATCCTCCAGCTGCATTTCAGAGTACAGCTCTTCCTCATCTTCTTCCATAATGTCAGACAAGTCAGAACCTCTGCTGCTCTCTGTATGGTACTCTTCACCATGGCAATAGTGAGGCTAATCGTCAGGGTGAGAGAGAAAAAATTTTACTGACTGTAAAGCTGAAAATCCTTGTATAACACCAATAACTACTAGAGCATTTCCTAAGTTAGAACATCACCCTAATAACCACGTACAAGTCACATCATGCAGCTTGCTGCTCTGTTCTACTGGAGAGATCATGTATAATTCTTTTTTTTCCTATTTATGCTCCCAATCCAATAAATCCAATCTTAATCCCATAGGTGATACAAAAAAGGATGTCTGCATTCATAGCACCAAATCTAGTTTTAGTCTTGATTAAAGTACTTTGATTTAAAGAAGTCCTTCATGCACCAATGGACTTGCTGACCAAATTGTAAAAGCCCTAGGATAATTCACATATCATCTGTCCTCACAGCTGTTTGTTACATCACATCATAATTTAAGTGTGATCAGCATTTAATTCTTGCAGGATGTTACCATCATTGTATGATACAGCTAGCTGACACAATTTGAAGCTTTCATTCTCTTAAGCGTTGTAGGCAGACTGGCTAAAACCTTAATTGTCTTTTAAAGTTACTCCAAATATTTTAAGTTACTACATGTTTCCAATTAGTTGGAAGACAAGGAGGAAAAAGTGTTCTACTGCATACAACTGTATATGAAGATGGAACCAGATGAAATCCTGAAGCCACATGTTTATAACACTGGAAAGCTGGAGCAATGTTTATACGTTTATAAATGATTGAACTGCATTTCAACCTGATTTAGTTGAAGATGTTCATGCTCATTCCATGGGGGTTGGACTAGACGACCTTGAACGGTCTCTTCCAACCCAAACTATTCTACGATTCTGTAAATTACATCTATCTTGAAATTCATGTAATAAATTACTTAATATTTGCTTTCAGTGGGATCAGACTGAAACCTGCACAGATGTGCAAATTTATTCTGGCACCATCTTTCTATTCATTACAGCACGCCAAGTATGTATGGCGGTGGTTTTGTGCTAACCAGTATTAAAGGTTAGGGCTTTTATGGAACACAAAAATCCTTCCTTTTTTCCCTTTTTTCACAGCATGTTTTCATATGCTGTAGCAACACATTATACAGAAAGAGCCCAGAGCCCAAACATGACATTCCAGTTAGATTTTCTATTCTAGTTTCTTCAGCTTCAGATTTTTCAGTTTCCACTGCTTAAGACCGCTGCTTGGGGTAAGGCTCTAGAGACGCGTGGGGCCGAGCATGCAGTTCCCGTTAAAGTGTTCTGCTTCAGCAACAGGACATTCACCTACCTCCCCCCAATTTAACTGCTTGTCTGTATAATTTACCAATGTGTCTACAATAATCAGATGGTGACCTGGATAACCTGCTGAGCTCCATAAAACACTTGTTTCATGTTGGACACCTGACACAGGAACAAGACCAGCCTACTTACTTGTTTTCCAAGTTCTGACCCTTTCAGGAAATCATCGACGGATGCCCCCCTTCTTTTGACATTAGGAGAATCGTAGCCATCCTCCTCATCATCTGAGTTAGCGTACTGCGCTGCATTACTCCTTTCACTAAAAACACTCCTCCTCTCCATCTAGGAAAGCAACAAAAAATGGAAAATTGTGAAGCAGACTTGTTCCTGCAACCAATGGAAGAAATGGCAAATATAAGACGTAAGGAGTCAAGAGCACAACATGTAAATATGCTCATGGTTTATAGCAACGTTAGTTTCCCTGACCACAACCTTTCAGGAGTTTTCAAGAAGTTTTTGCTTGTTGTATTACGCTTGCTCATAAACAATTATATGCTTTTATGTGACCATCAACTCAGCTGCTAGCTTTCTTCCCAGTACCGCTGATGTCAAAATTCGCAGTACTCTACAGTCAGCAACTGCTAAGGAAGACAATAATTTCCCCTCGGCAGAGGATTAGCAGAGGATCTAGCCGCTACAGCATTTTTGACCTCAGTATGAAAAAAGCTATATAAGGAGACTTCATGCTTTTCCTGTGCTCTGAGGTGACTCTTACTCTCAGCTACTGAATTCTGCTGCTTGTTCTCACGACAGTAACCATGAGCCATCTAAAAGGCTCAATAAAGGGCTGGGAGAAGACACAGCTTCTTCCGCAGCAGCCTACTGCAAGGGAAGATTCTCTGCTCCTGGAGACTAAACATGACAGTTATCATTGGCAGAATATGATTTCATTTATAATGAATCCATCTGTAAACTTCTGTCTAGATCCCTGAATTAAACATTTCAAGCATCACTAAAATTAATGTAATTAAACATGGTTCAGAGCATATGTTATGTCAGCAATTTTCCAAACCAGAAAAAGTATTTCAGCTCTCTATCCCTACATGGTTGTTAAATCAACTTTCATCTCAGAGTGCCATATAAACTAATTGCTTTTTCTCCCTCTATTACATTTATTTCAGTTTGCTTTATTTATAAAGAAAAGGAAGAAATATACATATGCATATCAACGTATTTAACCAGACCTTATTGATTCAGAATTATTCAGCTTCCCAAAAGCTGTATCATCACCCACCGGCTCAATTCCGTCCCAGAACAGGGACAGTCAGTAAGTTGGGGCTGTTAAGACATGTGTGAACTGTCCAAATTAATGGAGTTATTTTGGAGATACAATGGGAGATGAGAGACTGGACATAACAACTGATGACTGCCAGATAAGCACCAAGAGAGTGTATGAAAAAAGTGACACTGGAGCTTGAAACAAGCAACAGACATTTGTGAGCAGCTTGTGATGATAAGTAACCGCCGAGGGCACCGGGAGTATTTAAATATTGCACGCTTGGGTAGGAAAACCAGAGCACGTTGTCAGGATGCATATGCATCAACTGTGCTGACCCAAGAGCCTCAAATATGGGATTTAACTTAACTAGCCAACATCTGAATCACCACATCAGCCACAAGGCATAATGGGCTCAAAACCAGGGAGTCTCTTTTGGGCAGCGATGCTTCTAGCAGCTACTAAAGGAGCTGCAATGAAAAGCTTCCGCATGGCAGCTGTGCCGAAGCGTTTGTAAACATCTGCGAAGGTGTAGCACCGAGAAAGGGGAACTCTTGGAGGGTAAACATGTCACATGTCCTGTGGATCCACGGCAGCATACAAAATAGTACTTTACTTGCATCTAACTTTCATTTGCTATTTTGAAAAGGAGATGGGTTTAGAACACAAACATGTCTCTTATCTGACTGCTGGTTAGATTCCTTTATAAAAATGAGACTCTGTTCTCATCTTGTAAACTGTCTGAAAGATCAGCTTTTACAGTAAGTCTGCTCAGGGCTTTTGTCTACCTGCCTATTTCCAGACCCATTTTTAATCTTTCATCTCTTTCAAAGTATTTCAGTACTTGGATGACTTCTCTCCTGCAGGCAGAAGCCTCCCTTACACTCCTGCAGGGTTCAAGAATAAACTTTGATGATTATGATTTTTTTTTGCAGAAGTAAGGCTCTGCATTTTTGGGGACAACATTCTAGCAATGTTATGGCGTTTCTATGCCGATCAAAGGCTGATCAATGTTCTCTGTGGTTACAAGTATAATTGTGGAAGATGGCACAGCATTTTAGCACACTGCTGCTTCTCAAACTACAGATCTTCAGGGGTTAGGAATGATTAGCTGCTCATTAAAGCACATGAGGAAAAAATTCTTTGATGGAAAGTGCCACAACGAATAAAGCCAGACCAAAAAAGCCTTAAGAAAAAGCTTGCCTTTACCCTGTTGCTCTCTGCAACTCGTTGTGCTGCTTCTCTTGCCATGGCTTTTGCGACAGTATGTGGGACAGGTGTGCCTTGAGGTTGTGGGAGTATTCGGTTAGGCGATGGGGACCTCCTCCCCTGAAGTGGGCTGTGAAAATTAGGGGCAGGTGGCTCAAGCATGTGTCCATGAACAGGGGATGCCGAACGAGTCTGCTCCCATGACTCATCCATTTTTAAATGTGGACCTAAGTGTTCTTCTTTGGTTTCTGGGGCTCCGGCACTTGCTAATGGCTTAGATTTGGGAGCAGTTCTGGGGTGAGGGGTTGGAGGCACCAGTAGGTCAGATGGAATGGCAGCAACAGAAGAGTCCACTGATTCCCCTTGTGCAGAGAGTGTTCGAACAGTGACTTCCTTTGCTTCCAAACTCCTTAGTCTCATGAGCTCCACCAGCGTGTTCTCTGCTGTTGGGAAGATCACCTCCGCCACCTGCATACACAAACAAGCAGCTTACTAGCATGAAGACATGTTTCCTTCCCCTCAACCCCACTATAGTACAACCTCGAAGTCTTAAGTGGAACGAATTATTGCCCACACAGAGCGGGCTACAAGAGCCCACATGAGGGCTCCACACCAATTAGCACCAGTTGTCATTAATCCTTTCAGCCCGTTTGTCCAAAAGCTTAAGTGCCTATGGAAAGGAGGCTGATGAGCAAGTTCTGCCCAGCAAAGGAGTAGGTTCTGCTGAAAGCTGAGAAAACCCTGCACACATTCAAGAGCTGCCACATGTTTATTGTTGCCTTTACCTGCCAGCTGAAATTCACCTAATGCAGGTGGTCACTGCAACCTGGAGGGAGAACTCACCCGCTGACCTTTAGCGTAGACACCATAGCCCGTGACGTTGGCACCATGGGAGGTGCCTGTTGCTGTCAGCGTTGGTGGTTTCCAGGACACCTGGATGGTTGCTGGACTGGACCCAGCCCGTACAGTAACCTCTTGAGGTGGAGCTGGAGGACCTAAGAAAGACGAGACTGGTGACTCTTGAGCCTTTGATCAGAAGTATGTACGTCAACGGATATACCTGCCATGTGGAAACTACAGATCTCAAAGCAATTTTAAATTTTTTTTTTAAAGAAGAAGAAACATCCTTATTGCAGTTACTATGCAAAACCAGAAGCATACACTCTGCAGGTCATGGAGCCAGGAACTGACCCTCAGCCTACAGCCACTAACTAAGCTGTGTTTCTTTGCAAGTACATGCAACTTGCTCTGGACCTATTTTTATCCCTATTTACTCTGAATGCAGATGTTAACAGAAAAATGCCCAGGAGTGGAACTTAGTGGAAAACTGCTGCAGGTGACAACAAATGACTTTTTGGTATCTATCTTTGTACTGAAGGCATACCGTGTACTCAGAAATCAGTTTCAAACTCTGCCTCTCTGGACTGTCAGTGGCTCCAAGTCACGATTTATGGGGCACATGGGTGCAATGTGGACTGCAAGTGGAAACTTTAACCTTTTCAACCAGCAGCACGTTGCTTTTAAAGGACTCGGTCTTTTCTCTGCACTGAAGAAAAAATACACCTACTAACCTTTTCAGGCATTTACAGTATGGTAGTGTAATAGCACACTGAGCACATCCCTAATTAAAAGATACTATCACCCTACTATAAATAGCGCACTTTGGACAGAAAGCCAAGATAAAAATATCATAGAGATTATTAGCTCATTAATATTTCAGGCATCCTGCTGTTTCATGCTAAAACATTTCAGAAGCAGGGTTCAGCTCCAGCCGTCGCTGGGTAAGAGGTGGGAGAACAGAAACCTTGCCTGCTGTGAGTTTGCTTTTGCCAGTGAACTAAGCACAACCAATATCTGTTCATCTAGCAAAAACGCTACAAATATTTTAACTGTCTGTATTCATTGGTACCAAAGAGATCATGATACAAGTGTAAATATCACACAAGCCTCAGCCTCCAGATCTGCTGGCAAACCGTCAATGGATTTCAGTAGTTCACTGTCACTGAATTTCATCCTCTGGTGGGCACTGAAATGAAAACGTGGCCATGTTCTGAACACTACAGGCACAACATGAAATTTTCCCCTATACCATCCCTTGTACCTATAATGTATTTTTAATTTGCAAGGCCAAAATATGCAAACTGACCTAATACTATTCTTCGCCAATATATACATTTTGATTCAGGATTGAATTTCAGATTCCCTGATCATCCTATTTTATTGACAGCCAGCACTCCCGATCCAGCAAAGCTCCTCAGTTCACAAGAATGCACCTGATCTACTCCAGTATCGTGTCTATGACAATAATATTCATCTGCTCCTGCAGGGAAGTCACCATCCTTCCGTTCTCCCAAAACCCAACAATCCCCAGAGTCTATCTCGACCTTCACAGGCTGCAAGAGAGACAGATTTAATTAACTGTAATGCCAAAGGGTCAGGATGGTTGCTATTTTCCCTCATCATTAAATGGGAAATTACTCTCGATGGCCTTGGCCATCAGCATAAATGTTTGTTTCAAAATGTTGCTACAGTTTAGTCTTCATGAATTTATTATCTAAATTAGCTAAAAAAGAGTAACAGTCCCATTGGTGGGATACCTGTGCATACTTATGTCTATTTTTAGATCTGAGCACCCAAGAGAGATCTACTTTTATTTTAACTTAAGCAATCCTAATGCTTTGATGTATCAAAGACTTCAATCGCTCAGCTACTACAGAGCTGTCACCCAGCTTTGGTCTGACAGGAAGCCATGTGTTTTCAAGTATAAACCATGCAAAGCGTGATATAACTATGCACAGAGAAAAACAAAACGGTGACCTCTAATTGTCCTGTATTTTTCAGGCAACGTCTCTCTCTCTCTGGCTTTGAAAAGTGAGCAGTTATCTGAAGTTCATTTTTGCTTGAGATATTCCTAAACTCCCCCTGAGACTGATACAGTGTGAAAATTTTAAAATATTCACTGATCCCCTCCTGTGGGGTAAGCAGCTGATGGTAACCTTTTCTAGAAATGTATCACTGAACCCATTAGTAAAGAGGAGAGCTTCTCAGTTTCAAACAAAGCGAGCACATGTACCCATTGGTAGACGTTTCTGAAGCCATTAGAACACCGGTACAGCCGTTAGCAGCGGCCTGTGGCCGGTTGTGTTGCCCTTCACGCTGCACTGTCTGCTAAACCTGACAGTCACCGCAAGTGAAGGTCTATGTGACATCACCCACCCCTCTGCACATTCTAGAGAGGCACAGTAACAAAAGCTTCCCTTCACACAGAATATCTTACTGCTCCATCGGCATACCCTAAATTCAGCTTTGAAACGTGTCCCTTACAAGGTACATCAACTGAAGGTAATTAAGTGGAAAAATTATCCGGAGTCTGAGAGAAAAAATAATAATAGTCACATTAAAGACACCTTCTCTATTTTCTTTTAACTTCGTCAACTGCCATTTGGAAGAGTGATGTGATTACTCGAAGCCAGTAATACTTGCAAGAGTAAAACATGACACACGGGGATGTTAACTCCCATTCCTGACTGATTTCACGGGTAAACCCTCTGTTTCAACGACTTTTGAAATACAACCATCAGCCTCTAATCACTTCAGCTGTTGTTATTTTATTTGGCTATGCCACAGCAAAAACCTGATGTGCTTTTGTGAAAATGCTCTCTGTGAAATGAAGTGGTGGCAAAGATTCTGGGATCTCTGCATCTAAAAGCAGAGATGGCTCCTCAACAGAGAACGGCTCATTCACTGCTTTAGCATAGTTCAGCAACTAGAGGGAGATGCAGCATGTCAAGTGTTTGGCCTGAAAAACCTCCCTTGAAAGGCCTTTCCCCAATAACAAAGTCAGTATCTCTAACAAGTTCAAGCCACCATCCAGGCAGCATCTCCCAACTCCCACTGAACACACACAAAGTTTAAAATGCTCCCCCTCCTAGCAGATTCTGCAATTGCACTACCACTTACCTCACTGAAGTGATTTAGACCAAAGAGTACGTGCCTGAGCTGAGGACGTTCTTACAGAAACTATAGATCAACAGCACCAAAGGCAGCAGACACACAAGCGTACCTATTGCCGCTCTCTTCTGCCAGTGTTGCTGGCATGTCTCCTTACATGAAGCACGCAAGCCAAGGAAGAGACCAGAACTAATTCCCGCCCCTTTGCTAGAATCACACCCCAGCAGGGAGTCAACCAAGCCGTAGCACAGCACCTGCTATTGAAACTTCACTCGCCAGGAGGAACTTGTACTCAACTGTCCCTGCTTCAGGGGCATTCAGAGAATTTCTAAGGATGCTTCTACTTGTCCTTAGGTAGATGACCTCGGTGAGATGGATCGATAAGGAGAGATGTTCAAATTTTTCAGGTACTGCCATACAATCCCAAAATGATGAGATTACCCTTTAAATGCACTACATTATTTCAGCTGTAAATTTTCAACATTACTTCACTGTTCTTAAATACTAGGAAATGACCAGTAACACTTATCAACATTCCTAATGTAAAAGCAATATGGGAGAAAACCTCGGGCTTTCTAAAACACGACCAACTTGTTACCTTTACAAATTCAAATTGTGCAATGCGACTACAGCTTCCCAACCAAAATGTATTTACATCCCCTAAGTGACCATGCAGTTCTTTAAGATGTCTGTGTTGTTCTTCATTACAGAAAAGGGCTGGATCATCCCTGTAAAAAGTGCTTTAGGACACACAACACACAAATAACATGTCAGAAGTGATAACTGTTTGTTAGTAACTTATCACTTTTGTTCACACCAATGAAAATAAATTGCTTCCAGAAATACTGTAACTGGACAAATTAAACACAAATGGAGATTAAGCTGATAAAACACTTAGCGTGTGATTTGTGATGATGATAAGCATGGCTTTCCCTCATTTATCTTCTATAAATCCTTCAGTCCTTACCCGGGAACAAAGAAGAGAATAATGCAGGACAGGAATCAACATTAGATACCATAAAGCAACCCAATAATCCACAGTCTGCTCATGAATGTGACAGGGTTTACAGCATAAAGCTAAAGGTTAGATTAATTTATGTAGAATTTTCAGAGAAACTTAACTGGAGAGTTTTTGGGAGAAAAATATCAAACCTGCTGGCAACGTAGAAAATTCCACAAAGGCTTCCTTTTTCTCTCGTTGTTCCAAGGGAAGCTGCCAGGGCATCTGATGGGGCTTTGCCATGACCTTCACCTTGTAGGCCATATTGGGTTTCAAATTAAAAAAATGGTACTTGTAGCTAGCAGCCTTGACAATGTCAAATTCTTCTTCATTAAGAAAGATCACATGACTGTAATTACTATTTGTAGGGAGCCAGGACAGCTCAGCAGAAATCTGGGTTATATTGTCCACTTTAAGATTAGAGGGGGCTACTATGACATCCTTCCCAACTAACAAAGTGCACTGCAGTTCATCTGAGTTACCCTTGTTTGTAATGCTCTGAATTGATATTCGGTATGTACAAGCAGAAATGTTAAGCTTTTCTATAAGAGCTTTTGTTCTGCTTCCCAAGGCTATGTTCATCCGTACTTCTTTGTCAACCAGAACATTGTAGCTGCTAATGGTTCCCCATCCGGGTGGCACTACCGGTGGCTCCCAGCCCACAATGACACTTTTGGCTAGTTGTTTAATAAGGGTGATTTTTCTAGGATAAGGCACAATGTCTTCTCCAATTTCATCAATGTTCACATCCAGAGTCCCTGCGCCATTGCTGATTACACTAGAGTCTATGTGAGTTGGTGGACTTATCTCCAAGAGATCTCCTTCCAAAGTGGGACCCGAATGGTTGATAAAATTCTGATCTTGTTCACTGCTTAATGTGCTTGATAACCGGGTCTCATTGTCTTGAACAAAATCCACAAAATTTGAAGGGACTAGTCCTCTTTGTCCATCTAGAAGTTCCCCTGGTGAGAAAGAACAATGCCATTAAAATCCTTGGAAGTGTGTATCTCTTGCATGTCAATGCCTTGCAAGTGGACAAGGAAGAAGATATAAGTGAAAACTGTACATAAACAACTTTCCCAGTTTGAAAATGTAAAGGTTCTGTGAGGCAAAAACACCGGAACTGCCAGTAAGCTTTCTTGTCAACCTAAATCTTGCCAGTAGGAAAAGCTGACAATGTAAAATATCTGATAATTAGCTATGCCTGCAAGGAGAGGCTTTGCTGGTGCAGAAACTCTGTTAATTAACACAATGATGATAGGGGTAATTTTAGCAACTGATTTGGTAGTAGATGAAGGAAAGAATTGGGAGCATGTCTGAGAGATGAACTGATTTGAATCTGCATGAATCCTCAGATTTAAAAAAAATACCTTCATAGAAGCCGTCTTCGTCCATATCTCCATACACATAAAGGTACTTTCCTGCCGTAAGAGGGAGCTCTGCTTCTGGATTTTCATTTGGTCCATCGAAAGGGTTGTAACTGCAACGGGGTACAGATTGAAAACATGTGTGTTCACTTAAACGCCCACACAGCTCATCAGAAAAAGGTGTACAGACCTAGGGCTGCACAGGAAGGCAATTCCTCCGTTCAGTCCTTTGTCATACCTTCGGAAACATACATTCCGAGTGGAGTCTAGGTAAATGTGTTGTTGTGAACTGTATTGCCAGCAGGCTGCCATGAAACACAACCTATTCACTCAGGCACTATACACAAACTCACATCCTTTTTTGTAGGATTTACTTACACATTTCACACTTAGGTCTCTTGGAATACAACAGCTAAAATCTTCATTTTTTCAAGTCAGTTAAAGAAAATTCACTTGTAGGGGTCTTTTCCAGTCCCTGTATTCCGTTGATTTTATATAGCAGTGTTTTACATGTTTATTAACTTCAACAGAGACAAGTTAAATAAAGACAAACTAGTAAGTTACAGCTAAAACAACCTACTCATAGACAAAAAATTCTTATAAGGTATTTAAATCCATACCTATCCTGAGAGAAATTGTTAGCCACAGAAATTTTTATTCTAATAGTAATTTATATCTGAAATATTAATGGATCTTAATATTAATGAAATATTTCCTGACAATTAAAGCACAAAGAAATGACACTACTTTGTAGCCAGTGCAAATAGGAAAGGGGTCTGCTATCACTAACGTTGGTTCCAGGTCATAGTTAAGTGCATGAATAGAAGTGGAGCAAAACCAAATGTTACAAATATATATATTACATATGGAATTAGCTGGTTTTATTACCTATAACGGGCAATGCAAAGATGGACTTTCCCAGAATATCTCTGCTTTGAGGTATTGGAATTCTGATCATTATCCATCTGTAGAGACAAAAAAATAAATACAGGGTGACTTCAAAAAGAGGCACGCAATATTTGCCTGACAGGCGATATGAATCAGAGAGTGAACATGCAAGATTTATTTTCTTTAAAAAAAAAAAGGTTATATTCTAACATGGAACCGAACAAATAGGCACAACTCAACCATACCAGTCTCACTGACCACCTCACCCTCCTGACTGAGTTGTTACTAAAGTCTTCGTTAAAGCACAGTAAACCCAGTTACTCCACAATGACCTGTTGTAACTGATATGCCTAGTGTTTCTGGATGTAGTACAGCTATACGACCACACAGACAACCTAGGGTGATACCCTAATATTTTAATCAGAAAACGATAGTAGAAACCTGATAGCAGTCACTAAGTACTTAAGACAAATGCTGAGTTTCAGAGCTGGTGCAAGTGTGAACTTCCAAACACTTGGAAACAATGAGTGTCACATAAAATATACCCCCTTGCCAATCCAATCCACAGCAGCAGCATCTGTTGAAGTCCACTCTTCCCACTAACTGAAAGAAATAATATAGTTCCTCTGAATTTGCCATCATATTTAATTCAGTTCTGCAAAGCCACATGTTTATTCCATTACAAATCTGGTCTACAAAACCTGGAGATTAAATTGTGGTGCTGAAACAACACAGGCTCCGCCTATTTTAGTTCTGCACTAGGTACCATATACATCTATATCTATATATAGGTATATATCTATACTAGGCTAAACAGTGGGATCAAATAAGGCAAATTGTCCAAAAACTGGACTACTATTCTACTACTACTCCTATATACTACTATTGGACACACGATTCCACCAACACTCCACTTCCTGTGAGAAGGACAATAATAGTCAGCAGACAGGTATCCTTCCCTGTGTAGCATTTGGGGATGCAGGTAAATTTTCAAGGGTTATCAGCATAATACCTTTTTAGGGGCATGTCACAAAGCTCATAACTAACCCAATAATGCTTATTCTAGAAGATTTTGGTACTAATAAAAACCAGAGAGGTTACGGATACAGTTTTGCAGAGTATAATTTTTTTAGTTTCAGACTTCACGGAATTATGCTCCATTTTCAGATTTTATTCATACACTCTCCCCCTGGGTCTGGATACCTCTAAAAAAATAATGGAGCTTAATTTCTGTGAGCTTGCATAATGTAAGTGTGTATCACGTAATTACACTCTAGAAGGCACACAACGAACAATTCTGCGAAAGAGGGCTTGACATTCTCAGTGAGAGATAACTCAAAAATAATAGAAAAAGGGAATTAAATTTGACATGCACTTCTACTGTTCCTTGCTGTTAGTTCTGCTTCCCTAAGTTGTGCTGCTAAGCTGCTTTTTCTCGTTTGACTACTTCAGGCTGCTTTTTTGGTGGCACTTCAAAATGCAGTGAATGTTCCCCCTTTTCAGTAATGCTGCTACACATAAATATACACATATATTTATTTGTGGATAATCCTTAGATATACCCATGGAATTCCAACTATACAGGAATCTCTGTTAGTTCTGCTTCCCTAAGTTGTGCTGCTAAGCTGCTTTTTCTCGTTTGACTACTTCAGGCTGCTTTTTTGGTGGCACTTCAAAATGCAGTGAATGTTCCCCCTTTTCAGTAATGCTGCTACACATAAATATACACATATATTTATTTGTGGATAATCCTTAGATATACCCATGGAATTCCAACTATACAGGAATCTCATGTTCTGTCGACACTCAGGATTGCGATCCGTTTAAAACCATGCTGATTCTATCAACTTTCACAGGTTCAGTAGCAATGAATACAAAATAGAGAAAATGCACACAGTTCCAATTTATTTACTTCTCTAAAGATCAAGAATGGGATTCAGGACTGTAAGGTGAAGGGAAAAATCCAAAGATGCTTTCCTCATGGCTGTTGGCTCATATAAAATAAGCTTGCAGTATTTAATGGAAAATAATAACCTTTAATAAAGTTTTCAAAGTGTGCCCTGTACCTCCTTATATTTAACATTTGTCCTAAATATCAACAACCAACTTGCTATTGCACCATTGTAAAGCTCTTCTGAGATTCCCATTGGCTTTCTACTACAATTCTATGGAAAACTAGGAATCCTTTCTAAGAAAGGAAGAACAGAACCTTTCAAAAGTACAATCACAAACAAGCTTTGAAGTTGACTGGTGGAAGAATTTAGGGACAACATCCTGCAACTTTCACTTCTAGATTGCAGGCTCAAAATCCGTTTAGGAGAGTGTGCTGGAAACTGCTGTTAGCAGGTGGTATCAGCCTGGTCGTAGTGAGAAGGTTCATATGTCATGAAAGGCAGACAAAGAACAAGCCCTGCAGAATCAGCTCCTTCTTTGTCAGACCATACCTGCCTGGACAGGGCATTGCATGGCATTTCTCGTCCGTTTGCCCAGGCTGTATCAAAGTCACACCTTTTGGTAGATATAATAAAATAATAATAAACCCGCATAACACAGGCAGGTTATGCCAAAATATGCCAAAACAGAAACGCTGACTTCCCGCAGAGAAGCGGTACAAAGCTCTGAACGCACCACTGAAGGCTGAGGTTCTCACAGAAGGCTTTTATGCTGTGTAACTAGGATATCAGCCGAGACTTCTTTGAAAATGTCAGTTAAATTCCCACTGATCATGTTCCCAAGTTGTCTCAGAAAATGAGAACATTCATGTTTTGACTTTTTAAAAGCAGGTGGATCAGCCTGCATCCCCTGGAGAAGTCTTGGCCCTATAACACGCATTTTCAGTAACAAATTTAAAAAGACTCACGTCTGAATCAAATCTGCATCTTGGGGTACCAGATCGTGACTTGGACAGGAATGTAGGTTTGACAGACAATTGTTCTGGTTTATCTCCAGATATTTGAAGGGGTCGTATAAACTCTGAAATCACACAACGACTTCCAGAAGGACTTTCATGACCTGGCAGTGAACAAAACCAAAACACATGCGAAAATAAGTAATTGCTGTCAAGCAGAAACACTGCCAACTAATAAGAAGCAGTGAGTTATTTTCTCCTCCTGTTAGAAATCATTCTAAAAAGAGACTAAGGTAGGTAGACTGCAGAGCATAGAAGTAGCTAAGAGTACTAGTTTCCAGCCTTTCAGTAAATTATCTAAGTCAACAATATGTAATGGAACACAGTGTAGAAAATGAAGGTATTCAGAAAATCAAGTTAAATTATCCCCTAATGAAAAAATGTTGATCTTTGTTCTGAGCACCTTGATGTTTTTAGAGAAGTTATTTGAGATCCTGTTTAACAGGCCCAGCACCACAAAGCTGCTGTTGGAACCCTTCTCTGCTGTATACTGGAAAGTAGAATCGAGTTGTGCATTTATCTCCTAAGAAAGCAACCAAAATGCTTATTAATTAATTATTACCTATTAATTTAGTTGGCAGGATACTCATTTTGAAATGAAGGGAAGTGGTTTGGCTTTTTGCAGGGCAGTAAGTTCTAAGAGCCCCTGAATCATATTTCTTAAGAATTCCTCAACACCAGTACTAAACCATGTAATTTGACCACAGTGCCATCTCTCCAGTTTCTAAAAAACAGAAGACAGAGTAGGAAAAAGAAACAAATCTCCAGAAATGCTTTTTGAGTGGGGTTTTTTTTGCTTTTTGAAAGCAATTAGAAATAAAAAGGAAAAGGCAGTTTATACCGCACATTTAAAGGACCTAGGGAGGCAGCCTTACCAGAGGCTGAACACTAATCTCCAACTGACTCAAGTGAAACCCTGGTCTAAGGGTGAGGGAGACAAGTAAAAAGAACTTGATCAAGATTGCAAGAGAGACTAATAAGGTGTAATATAAAATACTTCTACATTTTTCCCTTTGCTGCTAGCTTAGTCCCCAGAGCACATGAAAACAAGCAGGAAATTGTAAACTGAGCCTAATTATACTTGCAGCATCAGCAGAAGTTACAGCAAAGCACAGAGTCTCGGGTGTTGCTGACACAATCAGATATCCAGAGTGCCTCCTACTTTCTCTTGCTCTCATTAACATAGTGAGCCTATGCTCTAGTTTTTCAAACCCTGGATATGTGTAGGTTCAGCATTTCCTCTCCAGTTCTGCCAGAAGTCTGGACAGCAATTCAGTTTTGCTACTGAACTGCAAACTTCCCAGACACACATCACCAGGAATTGTCAGTGGAACCTCTTTATTCATATTGCACAGGAGAATAAGCTCCAAAACATATCATCAGAGGGTTTTTCTGGTGTACTCCTTAGTCCAGTGTGAATAATCTTCTCTGCCTCGCTGTAATTTACAGCAGGATAGCTTAAGAACACTGACAGCAGGGAAATATACAAGTCATCATACAAAAGATTAATTACAGCCAGCCCGCTTACAGCAATCCCCAGGCTGGAAAAGGGCACATTTTTTATTCTTGGAACCTTTCTCACATATATAACAGAAGAGTCATCCCCGTTCAGAAACCTTTAGCCAATTTAGCTCCTTCTGTTTGTTGTTAATGTGCTTGCCATATCAGCTTGTCAGCGCCAAGCCTATAAATAATTGGTCCAACTGTGATTATTCATTCAGAGAAAACTGCTGTTTGGTCTCATACCTCCTGGATTTTTCAGGCTTTGTTATTAAATTAGTTGCACTGCATACAAAATGTGGAGAAAGATTCTTGGACAATATAGCTTTTGCTTTGTGTACATATGGTAACCAGGTTAGGAACACACATCATCAGGAGCTCCAGGAATATCAAGATGCTGGAAGATATTCAACTGTCTTTTTTTCACATGTAAAACTGGGTACATAAAATTTACCTTGAGTCCTTAATACACAGGAGAGAAAACCGTGTGGCAGTTGTAATTGCATCGTGTGACTGGACACATCTAGGGCTCCAGATGGTGCTCATAACTAGATACAGCCTACTTCCATACCTCACTTCCCATCAGAGTCATTCTATACCTGTATCCATCAATGTATGTGGAAATACAGCTTCTGCTCCAAATCTAGCTATGCAAAATGGATCTGTCTTGGCAACTGGACTTACTGCTGCGTTCAGTGTCCTCAATTTCTCTGTTCGTTTGGCCACTTGTGCCATGTAACATCTCCCTGCTCAGTAAAATCTGCACTGGATGCCATCAGCGCCTGTCTCTTTATTTAAAGGTGTGTGAAATAACAGAAGCTTCTATGGCTCTTTCCCATGCTGTGGGACTGATTTTATCTGGGACCGCAATGTCGTCTATTACTTAAAACAGCTTAAAACTAACTGCATCTTCAAGGTATTGTAAAATATGCAATAAACTGGAAAGAACAGGTTTTTGGGCAAGCCATATGATACAACGTTAGCAATTCATTCCTGTGTATTCTATACAGCAGAGTTCTTAAAAAGGTCATCAGATGCTTAAACATCACACCATAAATTCATGCTGATTCTAGGTGTGCAGAGTCACAGCTGGATTCAGAAATATAAACACAAGTATCATCAAGCAACGCCCTTGCAAAAAGCAAAATTGAGATTCATTGTGCATGAAGCACTTTCATAGAATCATAGAATGGTTAGGGTTGGAAGGGACCTTAAAGATCATCTAGTTCCAACCCCCCTGCCACAGGCAGGGACACCTTCCACTAGACCAGGTTGCTCAAAGCCACATCCAGCCTGGCCTTGAAGACATCCAGGGATCGGGCATCCACAGCTTCTCTGGGCAACCTGTCCCAGTGCCTCACCACCCTCTCCGGGAAGAATTTCTTCCTGATATCTAATCTAAACCTCCCTGATTTCAATTTATACCCATTACCCCTTGTCCGATCACTACAGGCTCTTGTAAAAAGTCCTATCCCAGCCCCCTTGTAGGCCCCCTTCAGATACTGGCAAGCTGCAATGAGGTCTCCTCGGAGCCTCCTCTTCTCCAGGCTGAACAAGCCCAGTTCTCGCAGCCTTTCGTCATAGGAGAGGTGCTCCAGCCCTCTGAGCATCTTCGTGGCCTCCTCTGGACTCGCTCCAAGTGGTCAATTTCCTCCTGAAACCTCCTGAATCTCTGTAATCTCCTGATAATTTCTATAGGGGGTGTCTACTTCTGCGGCTTCTGAAGAGTACAGACAAAAATGGCTGCATTTAAAAACTGGCCTAACTTTACCTCCCAAACGAGAAACAATTTCAAACTAGGTTCTCTTGGTCATCCAAGGCAGTTTCGCTTATGTCCCTGGGTTGGAACAACAGAATGTGGAGGAATCAGACCTGTTTTAAAACTTGTTAAATCACTGGAAACTAAAAGGGGGGGGGGGAAAAAAGCGCCCCTTTCCTTTTACATTTGCACTCTGAAAAACCCTGAAAGCTAAAAATGAAAAATACAAGAGGTCGGCTCATAAGAACATGCAGGAGCTTCTAGAAATGAGGAATGTCTCTTTTTTTCCTCTAAATACTAGAGAAGAACCTCGTAAAGCCACAGGCGTTTTGTCTGTAAAGTCTCGTAAAATCCATATACCCTCCAAGTGGCCTTTATTTGCCTGTGACTGGCCAGTATCTGTTAAGGACATCTGAAGAGCAGCCTTTTAAAGAAAGAGGCAAGGAAGAGCACCAGACTCAATTTAAATGTCTCAGCAGAAGCAGACATTTCTGGCCATACTTGCAGTACAATTAGGCTCTCCATTTTATTTATTGGAACTGCTGATTCATTATGGACTATCTAAATTATCTAGAGAGGTCATTTAAATGAGCCTTTTATCTGATGAATAATAAATCTTAAGGTTTCTGTATCTGATTGTGACAGTATTATAAGTTTAGAGTGGAATTTTCATGTTCTAATCTATTATGGCTGGGTTTATTTAATTTCCTGATAGATTCAAACATCACCAATTAAGGCAAAGCAGCTGGTCATAAACTGATCTCATTTCCGTCACTTGCTTTGCTTTGAAAGCTGTCCTTGTGTTCCTTTCTTGTGTTCTTTCTTCTTCACACATAATAAAAATAATTACACTTCTGGTTTGAAGAACTTGCTGTAGCATTAGCATTGTTATTGTGTAATGGTTGATTTCAATAATTAGAAATCCTGCCCACTTGCTTAAACATTACTTTATTGTTATCGGCGCATTCATACTGAGAATGAGTATTTCCAAGGATTTCTGATGTTTATACATCAGTGCTGCAGGCCCTGAATTCCAAGTCACTTAAAAATCAATAGGTTATGAGGAAAGGTTTACAGAAAAAGGCCCTTAAATTGCTTCAGTACAGAACTAGCTGTGTTTTCTGTATTTTTAGTCAATGGGTTCTTGGAAGATTTCTGTTTGTTATATTTTGAAGTGTTTTTAAAGGCAGTTTCCATTAGTATTTCAAAAATAAAAATAAGTTATTTGGGAGAAAATGAGTGAGGACCTCAAAAAGTTTATTTGATTTTTATTTGAGGATTGGGGCCTATTTAGATCAATTCCAGAGATACAGACTGGATCATCACTAGCTGCCTAAAGGACATTTCAATACCTCATTACCTTTCCTTTAAAATTAATTGCTGCTTTGAAAATCCTGTCTTTAGAGACGTGAGGAGCTAATCCTGTCGATATTAAGGAACTTTCTACTAAATTCTTACGGCTATCAGGTAATGCCTTCTGATTTCTCCATTTAGTGTACTTTGATTTCCACTTAGGTAAGACCTGCAGCTCAAGAAAAGCCTATAAACTAACATACACCACAGCGGGCAAGACTGCAAACAGCTCAAATTTTGTGTTCAAAAAGCCAAGGCATACAAAGTACAAAGTTACTGAAGTGAAATGAAAGGAGGATGTCACCTTGGTTCCTTCTGACTTGGTTTCACATTGAGTTTAGCACCCTTCACTGAAAATAACTGCTCATCTGTAACGATAGGGAAATGATTTGTGATTTCTAGGCCCTGTGCCTCAGAATTTTTCTCATAGCTTAGGAAGATGAAATTAAAAAAAAGTCAAGAATATTTAATTTTTCCAGTTCCTCTTCACACTTATTTTAAAACAACTTTAAGGGAATTTGTAACTAATGGAAATTACCTGACAAGTGTTCCTTTGCAGAAGAGGTAGTTAAAGCCATTCCAGCATGGGTGAGCACACTCCTCAGCTTTTGTAACAACATAGTTATAATACACGCTCAAGCATACGATTTACATACAAGTTACTTTAAAGTGTCCTCAGGTAACTCTTGCCTTGATATTTTCAATTATCTTATGAATAATGAATCGTTAACAAAGTTGTGTACTTAGGAGAAGCAGTTGCCTCTGGCAACAGAAGATGACCTGGCAAAAGTTCAACACAGATCTTGGAAAAACACGTACTGTGTTGAAGAACATCAATACAGGCATAAATTAATCTTTTTCTTTTTTTTCTTTACACTTTTCGTTACAGATACCCAGAGTAAAATGCTGGTCCTTACCTTTGCCTATAGAAGTGGCTATTCCATTCATTAACTGGGATAGAGATTTACCGGGAGAACCAGGGATATCTGAGGATGCCACCGAGTTACTGGTCAGGAGGTCAATCTTTCCTGCTTGCTGTCGAAACTTCTCCAGTTCTCTGGACAAGAGGTTAAATTGTTCGCTCTGAGTCCGGCATTTCTCCTCTAGCTCTCGGACCTTGGCCTGCACAAGCAAGACATGACACAGATATTTGACTGAGATCAGCATGAGCTATAGCTCATCAGGAAGCCAGGACAGGCAAACTATTTGGGATAAATAGGCAATCACACTGTGCACCTCATACATTCTCACCTACATTCAGAATGATACTTTTTAGTAGCCCTGTAAAATTAATGTAAGTACTCCTTTTATTCCCAATTTCCAAAGAAGAAATTCCTCAACCTATTTTTTGGCAGTGCTAAAAATATCACTGCCAAGAACACTTGCAAACATATCCTACAGGTTTGTGGCTTCTACACGCATCTGAATGTCACTTTTGTGCGCGTCTCTAACTTTTTTCAAAACTCAGGCATATTTCTGAGGTTTGCCCATCCTTGGTTATTAAGTTGAAGCCTCCTGAATTGTTATATTAACACTGGTATATTAAAAAACAAGACTAAAAAACCTCCCACCATGGTTCATGCAGAATGTGGGCTTGTCTGCTTGCTCAATTCCCTTTCAAAAATAATGGCCTCACTGTAGGTGCCAAACCACACAGAAGTAATCCAGACAGCAGCCAAGAGGATAATGCTTGTGAGAAGTACCAAAATGTCATTGCTGGCAAACATTTTTGTTTTAATTTTGAGGTATCAAGCTTTAACAAAACGCAACTTAGAAGATAAACTTCTGTGCTGACTTGGGAAATTTGCCTAGATACAGTTTATGAATTCCTGATGTGAAAAAATGGATGAGGTGACGGAAAGGAAAGAGTTCCTCGCTGAAAGAAATGACAAAGGGCATGGGAATTCAAGATTTCTTCTTCAGTTTTAACTCAAAAGCATGTAAGAGTCATGAAGACACTAAAGCACCAAAAAAACCCCTTTGTCCAAATCTGTACATTCATAGTATCAGCTAAATTAAGGATATAATAATGCATGAGCTTTAGTATAATGCATTTAAATTTCAATCTGCATTTATAAACAGCCCATACCTCTTTGCATACACTGTCTGTGTTCCTGAAGAGAAAAAGCACAACTCTATAGTGCCCAGAGGGTTAGGAAAGAGCATATTAACGCCTGTTGCAAAGACTGAAGAAATCAGAAAAGCTCCGGAGAATTTAATTTGTGAGGTCTGATTTTCACCTGGGGGCAAACAGTTGATCTCCCCTCTGGAAAGGTGCCAGAGGAAGACTGCCTTTTGAGGCCTAGGGAGCACTCGTGTCTCACTCGGACCCAAACGCAGCAGCAGAAGTAGCTCAACAGAGCCGCTAATAGGCTCCTTATATGAAAAGCTCATGCGTTATACCCTACTCCGATGCTTTATGATGAACAAACACCCCTTTTCTTCACTAAAAACCCCTTTGTAGTATATGCCTAGCTAAACACCTAGACTGGCAAAGTCTGGATATCAATTCAATTTATTCAATTGCAGTAAAGGTTTCTTTTTCTTGGAAGAAAAATGTTCTCTGTTCATATAAAGAAAACTGCACATATCACGTCTCAAGAAAACAACATATGTTACAGACCACAAAGATCTCAGCACAGCTAAAGATAAACAAAACCCTTAACAGTCCCCAGAAGAACACAAAAATACAAATTTCCTACTATAAAAGGTGGTACTGTTTGTTCCTTTTTTTTTGTAACAAATACATTTTTTAAGCTACTGAGAATTTTGTGGATATAATTCCTTCGTCTTCATAAAACACAAATTAATTTAATTCTGCTGAGGAAGTCTCAGGATATCTGACTGATTATGAAAGAGAAAACGATAAGATACACAGACATTGTGGGAGTTTTACACAAACACTAAATGCTTTGATTCTTGATTTTTTGTGTTTCATCTTTTCACTCTGGCTTTGAGCAAGCGAAACGTGAGCCTTTGCTACACGTGACTGTTGCGTGAATAAGGCATCGACGCACAATTTTAACAGAACGTTAAAAGTGGTTTGGGTTTTTAGATCCCCTCTTTCCAGTGGAAAGTATAAGGACTCAACTCTCTAAGGATATATTCTGACCTTTCCACATGCAGTTATAGAAACTCTAGCATAAAATAAAAAATAAAAACATCACAATCCAGAACCCAGCAAGATGCTAAATCTGCCTTGAAAATATTTTTTCGGGAAAAAAAATTAATGCATTATTAGTAGTAGAATTAATTTATTTAAAATATATTTGAATTTCAGTATATGCCTTCTTTGACTTTTGAGTATCTAGAATCTTAATTTTGAAGCTGTTCTCTCATGACAGTATGAAGCCTGGAAGGAAAATGCCTTTACTGCTTCTCTTTAATCAAGGTTACGAGTTAGGAGTGAGAACAAACTGGCACTATATAAAGACAAAATCACCTTAAGATCCACAATAGTACTAAGAGGAGGCATACCCCTACCCATCTTTGTTTCTTGACTTCAGGCAGGTTCTTGGTTCATTGTTAGCCAGCCAGAGTCACCTGCTGTAGAAAATCGACATATTCACGTGTGTCACTGCAGAGTGAGTCATGTGCTCACACTCTCAAGAGCACTGAATTTTTGTCCTGTATCATGGTTCTGCCCATACAGCCTTTCCTAATAATGATGGCACAGAAGTGACAAGTCTACCAGATCTCCCTAAAACTGGATCTGCCCATATCAGGGTTGTATGAAAAACCATCCTCTTCTGCAGACCATATGGAATGTTTTTCACTTAGGACTTGCCAAGCTTCTTGTACAATACAGAGTGCTACTTCTAAAACTTAAACAGCTTCTTAAATTGAAAATGAGGTAGACTTTGTCCCTTACAAGACAGATACTGTTTGCACAAGACAGGTAAGATGATGAACAGCTTTTCAGGTGGATGGGCTTGAATTCAGACTAATAATTAGCTGAGATATTCTGCTACAGAGGTACCATTTCATAGTTCAATTGCTTACATAATAGCAGTGACTTTCAGTTGGTGGCTTAATAAACCAACCTCAGCTGAAAATACCACATAAAATTATCTTTGTATTAATAAAGAAACAATCTGAATTCAGACAAAATCCACAGCCAGAAAGCTACAATCTTGAATAAACTACCAAACCATTCTTACTGGGCATGCTCATAAGAAATTCCCTTCCCAGAACAGCGTCTGAGTTCTATTAAATCATACCATGTTTGAAAATTAAACTCTTGTAGAAAAAAAAGTCTGCTTTTGGTGATTTGCCAAAAAGGCCAATAAATAGGAAGCATGCTTACATAACAATGGTTCTAGCACACATCCCATGCAAGGTTAGGCAGGACTATCCATTTTAAAGGGAAAAGTGCAGGATTCAGGACAGGGAAAGGAGAATTTATGCCCTAAAATACCTGCATGCTGTCCAAGGTGTTCTGGATGAAGTGCAAAGCAATAAATTCCAAACAAGACACAGTAAGCAGAGATGTGAAATAAAGAAATAAAACCAGATTTGAACACTTTTTTTACATTTCAAAGCAAAATATATTAGAACAGTTAACGCGTGTAAAAACATGCACTAACGCAAAGCACGCTACAGAACGTTTCAGAAATCAATACCGTCACTGGTCTTAAATTGCAAAAGCCAGATCAAATAGTAAAAATTAATGGGTTTATGGCAATAAAAAGCAAAAGCTTAGGAAATCTTGATGGGGTTACGCACGCTGGAGGTCGCAGACAAATCAGCTAAAGAGGAATTTTGATTAGCTCAAGGGGGGCAAATAATCACTTGCCTACTTTGTTTCTACTTAAGTTTCCGTGCATCATATACGTTCCACCAGGCGTTACATGATAAATCTTACATTTTAAAGGCAAAGCAAACTTTTTATATATCATGATAATGAAAGCATATGAATAAAACACTTTCCAAGGGAGTATTTGCTTCTAGATGTAAGTAAATAATTTTTAATATTTTTTTTAAGATGATCGATGCACCAGAAGAAAAACCTTCCATCAACGCATAACCAATAAGTACACAGAAGAACTGCTGTGAGAAAGTAAAAGGACTAAAAATCACCTTCTGCTAAAAGCAGATTTCTAAGTGAAATGTCAACAAGCCACTTGCTATAATCAATCTATGGCATCGCATGTTCTTTATGATATGTATGGTACATTAAGACTTAATAACCATTTGATGCCTTTTCCTCAGGCAGAAAACCTAGTTCGGTAGTTATCAGTGAAAACCTGTTTTTGCATTAAAAAATGAAGAACAAAAAACCCAAGAGGAAATCTCAATGCAGTTAGTATGCATCTCTGAGAGTTGTGCATCTCTGCTTTTTGACATTCTACCTTACCCAAGTACATCAAACGATATTACTGGAACTTAAAGAATCTGTTGAGCCTAAGTTTGAAAAGCTGGGGGGGAATTGTTTGCTTTAGGAACCTTCTTATAGGGGTTGTAATTTCTGCTGTGTGTTGTCCTTTGCTGTATCTTGCACAACGTTGTGGGTCAGCCTGCATTTCCAAACAGCAGTCAGCAAAGGGAGTAAAACGTTTTTGCAAACCTTACCCTATTCCAGGTAAAACTGACAGCAAAGCTCATGGTTGTGGAATGGGATTAAGAATTTGCTCCTATTCTTCATGTCACTTCTACACAAGACACAAGCAATTCTGCATCCTTAGGCACAGGGGACTAGATTACTGGATTTTTCTTTAGGAATAATGACTTCAAGGAAGGCTTGAAATGTGATGCAAAGTCCATAAAAACAACTGCTAATTAATTTACAGGAAATGCCTGATGCCAAGGTCATAACAAAGCAATTGCTAAGGAAAATACTAAGATTTTTTTGATGTATCTTTATGGGTGATGTTGCTGTTGTGGACGATGTCAGTATGTGCAGATATTTAGTGCCTTAAAATGTAGTGAATCAGATCATCTGAATCATCACTCAAAATATTATGTTTCTAATTAAAAATTTGAATGTTTCTGGTGTCCTTGATTTTCAAATGCCCAGTTCAGACTACCTTGAAAAGATCTAGTTTTCTAATAAAAAGAATGAAGTGTTCTCTCTCTGCAACATCCTTTAAAGGTTTTTGAAGTATCCAAATTTGTTCATTAGGTTTAAAAATTGTGTCTCTAACATATTGCTTTATGTTTACTAGACAGTACTTAATTAGAAGCCTTAGGAAATTGATTGGTATTTACAGCTGCAATTCCAGCATAAATGATGATAATTGTTACAAATAATCACTTCCTTTCTACGTATCTGATAGTATTTTACACTAAAAAAAAGTTACTAAAATTTCCATTCTACAGAAAGAGACATTGAGGTACACACATCACTTCCAACAGCTCAGCTTACTGCATTGCTAATTGAATTATAATCATTAATGAATGAAATTACATTATAAGAGAAAACACCCCTATTTGCTTACATATTACTTGCAACTCTCAAAAGTGGTGATACTGTAAAGTTGTCACCCCCGCAAGCAAAGGTAACACAAAGGATATCTTACCTCTAGCAACTGAACTGCTCCTTCATGCTCCTTCTTAGCTTCAACCTGAGCCTTGTTTTTATAATTGAGAGAAAAGAGAGAGAAAAGAGAGATCAATTAGTCATGCCACATACAGTACGCTCTAACCACATACAGGGGCATACTGTATACTCAGATCCAAAGCCAACTGCAGTCTTGAAGGGATGACACCGTCATTATTACTATAGCACTTTGGTTCCAAGCCATGAAATAATGGCTTATTTTGAGGATACTGAATCTCAGGGCAGCCTAATGGCATCAGTATTTTGTTGGAATAAGAAGAGCTTCAACACATTGTAAGAACACATCAGAAGTATATCTGAAACCCTCTAAATTACAACTGAAAAAATAAGCTTGTTATTCTGCAGGAGGTTTGTAGTATAGAAACTGCCATATCAGCTAGGAGAAAGCAACACAAAATTAAGCTAATTCTTTACATGCAGCAGCTTATCATCTAACAAAACACTTCAAGGCAACCACAGGAAAGGTTCTCTCCAATCCGGAGTGCAACATTTAGGGTCTGATCAACTGAGTCAAAGAAGGAAAGAGGGAATCAATAAGAGCAGAAAAGTGGGTTTTATGTAGCTCAGAAATGCAGTTATCAAATTTTGGTCAGGAAAAGTCTAAGCCTTAAAAAGAAAAAAACCCAGCACTCAGTAACTTTGTGCTAGCCTCACTTTATTTCCATTTAACTTTTCACTGCCTTCCTTATTGAAGCTTGCCCAAGATAAGCAAAACTATTGTATCAGGCTGATAGCAGTGTAATGCACTAACTTTGCCTCTTAGCTCCTTATTACTATAACCCAAAGACCATATTCTGCACGTTCCTCATCAGAAAACGTCTTAAAACCCTCCAGTTTAACAGAGGGCAACACCCCACAGACTTCCTAATTTAATGGGCCGGAGAGTCGTATGATGAACCCCGACGCAGCTATGTTAACTTCCTTTTCCTCATCTGTGAGGGCTACCCTACTGCTTTCCGTGGAAGCTGGGTCAGGCCATAAAGTCCTAACCAGAAACATACCCAAACCATACTTCACTGTCATGCATGGTTCTAATGCCTCCTTTTGTCCTGCAAGCACACCCATGCCTCTTCCTGCACTACAGTAATAAGTCTTACTTCTAGCACCTGATAAAATATTGTCTCCAGGAGCATTAGCTCCTGTTTGATGACAGGTAATAGAAAGCCTTGTGTTATCTATCATTGCAAGTTTAATAAAATCTGCCCAGAATATGAGTTCTTGACAAATGATTAGAAAACCTGCATCAATAGCTAGCTATCTCTTACATCGAACTGTCTCGTAGTAAGGCTTTCTGGGAGAAAAAGACCATCTGATTCCCTATCAACACACCACCTTGATGAACAATATTATATTCTTCTTTTTAGGCTGAAGATCTCTTCAGTCTGCACATATATTAAAACCACAATGAATTACTATTTATAATATCAAAATGTGACAAACTGTACCGGTAACTCGCTTTCTTTTGAAGTGCACATTTCTGTGGTCCGTCAGCAACTTTATGACAATAACAAGACATGCTGCAAAATGTCATCCTATTGCTGCCTGGAGTTACTACTCCCATTTCACAGTACTTTTGCAAGTAATTAGATGACTAATAAAAAGGAAGAAAGAATTTAACACACATGTACTAGTTATATTGAGAGGTCAGCTCTGGATGAAATGTGAGCCAGGAGTTCCCATTTAATGATGGAAACGAAGTATCATAGTTACTTAGGTAACAGATTTACTGAAATTGTTTTTCTGACGGTACAGACTGCATTATAATGTTGAAAAGGAGATGTGTTGGATACCAGCAGTCTAGAGGCTAAAGCAGGACAAATTAGCCTGTGCTCATCCCCACTGCCATGCCTAGAGAACTACAGGTAGCTTGGGTATCTGTCTACAAGGCAGAACAGTTCACACTATAGACAACTCCCCAGACTTTAAACTTTCTGAATACTTTACCTCTCCTACCCATACACTGTACTAATCTGGTCGCCATTCTTATTCTACAGCATTAATAACAGCACTACAGAAGGAACTAAGCATCTGAACCAAGCTGGGATCCCAACATGTCACGAATTCTAAGACAAAATTCTAGTGGAACATATTAATAGATTATTAGATAATAATTTTAAACATAAATGATCTTGTATCACATGTTACTTAGGTCCACTGAACAAGAATTTAATCTCTGGCTACAGATGCTGAGCCAGTGGCATTGAGTGAAATAAATACAACGCAGCCTCATTTGTGCTTGAAGTCTATCATGCTATAGCTTAGAAAAAGTGACTGGAGAAAACAGTCTTACAGAGATTTGTGTCCTGTTGCCAATCCGCAACAAAAAGACCCGTGTAATGTGGATTTACTAGAAGAATGCAATAAATTAGCAAGAATAAAAGGAGTACCTTTCTTTGATTCCTTTGCTTTGCCAGGAAATTGAAGTCCAAAATTTATACAGAAGTTCAAATAATAACAGCTGAATATAACTGGAAATGGCATTTCCAAATGTGACTAAATAGATTAATTGTGAAGGGCTAATGGAAGATTAACTGGAAGATTTCTTTTGATCAAGTGAAACTTTCTATTTTCAGCAAACTATATTTAGATCCATGTTTTTACTCTGCTGAGAATGTCCCTCCATGCCAATTCTCTAGCAAATTATCATTAGCATTATTATTTCTATGATTTGATCTACTCAAGAAATTGGAAAAATCAACGTTAGTGTTGTGAAAATTGCAGCTTTAAGTGACTTTGGTAAGATTGAAACTCAATACCATGTTTTTTATATGAATACTGAGAAGTTGCAGCGTGAAAAAAAGAGGTCTTAAAGTCATCTGTGAATTAGAGAAAGAGCTTGGAAATGAGGTACTTAAACAACTGTTTAGTTCTAAGCGCGGTATGTGAGTACCTTGACAAGGACTTACTTCAATATGATTTAGTGGAGAAAGATAGTAAGAATTGTCAGTGTCAGGAAGAAGAAACCTAAGAAATACTAACAAAACCTTAATACGTCAGTGAGAATGAGTAACTGTTCCAGCAAACTGACAAGGAAATGGTGGAGTCCCCATATTGTGATTTTCATGAAATTAAGATTGGATTTCTTCCTGACATTTAAGAAATACAGAAATAACCCAATATAAAGGGAAGCAATACAAATACAAAGGAAATACATTTATTTGTATCACTTCTCTCCCTATTGGGCAATATGAGAACCTATATACAATGGTCAGGTAAATCTTCACTGGCATAAACATTTATAAATAGCACAGTCATGTAAATCCAACAATAAACATCCACCACAAGTGCATCAGCAATCATGCAAAACAATCCAGAACAGGAACCAGTTTGGTGGGTGTGGTTTAAGTTCCTTTAAACCAGGAGATCATTTTTCACACTGGTGCAATTTGCTATTTCACCTGACCATCCCTTTTCCCCACTCACCTTCTGCAGGAGTTCAATTTCCTGCTGTTTGGCGTTGAGAACAGCCAAGGCTTGCTCATGCTCCAACTCCAGCTGTTGCCGCCGTTCAGCAGCCTCTCGCATATGCTGTTTCAAAGGAAGCACAAAAACTATCAGGGGACTTCAACATATTCTACCTGCAGCCAAACATGCTGCCATTCCAGGCATGCAGATGTTCTTCACAACATAAAAGCTCTCTGGTATCACTGATGGGTGAGCAAGACACTGGATAGGATTTTAATTCGGTCAGTACTCGGGGGCATATTGCCAGTGCTAAACTCAGGCATTCTGACAGAAATCTCTGAGGATAGACAGCTCTGTCATGGCCAGCACTGTGGCCTCTGTGATGCACAAGTGAACAGTACCTGTTTTGTCCATCAGGCACATCTTTATATGTGGTGTTGTGCTGAAAAAAAAATAAAGCTTGGAAAAAAATTAGTTTCACAATTCCCTGAATACCTCTTTATCTAAGATTTTTTTTTTGTGATGACCCAAAAGAAATAGCTTACCTTTGCTAATCTCTGCCTATTATTTATAGCAAATTAGACAGAGCAAAACTAACACTGGTGGGCTTGTGACAAAAATGACTATACATTACTCAAGCCCAACTTTTAAAGGACATTTGCTACTCGTGATTCAAAGCAATATGAGAGAAGTTCTTGGGAAGAGCACAAGCTGAACAAGTCAAGCTACCCTTTGCAGATAGAAATCTTTTTCATTACATGTTAATATTACTCTCCCAATGTCATTATAACTTTCAAACACCCTGTTAATAAATGGGAGTTAAGAACAATCTCTCTGTAGATTCTGATCTCTTCTCTGGTGAAACTAGTATTAAAGATTTTTATTTTCCAAATTACATATTATTCCCATAGTACTCCCAAGGCAGAGGCACAATGTCTTATCTGCAGCACCATGAGTTATTACACACAAACCCATTAGGAATCAGCGGTTGGAAACAGAAATACGTGGCTGCAGTTGACAAGAACAGGCCAAAATATCTCTTATTGTGTACAAGAGAAAATGTTATCAAGCATATTGCTAACCTTTAATGAGCTGTTATTCTCTGCTACATGCTGCTCACAACAAAGAGGGACAGCACAGTGAGGCTGACGTCTCTCAATCTGGATATGTTTGCAAAGAAAGCAGAAATATCTCCAATACTCTGTTTGGCCTCTGCTTGGGATTTATTTATTTTCATTTGATGTGTTGATTAAAAACAACAACAAAAAAATCATCAAAGATTTTCCCAATTCATCAGTTTTGACCCTCAATAGTGTCTTATTTTCTAGGAGTTTTGTGAGGATTCAGTAACTTGACTGTAGGCATTTCTGAACTGTGCATGTTGTACAAAAGTTAAATGGATCTGTTAATAGGTAATACCTATTCTCTGTATTTAATAATAACCAAAAATAATGGTTTTGATTCTCATCTCATCTAAATTAATATAACCTGTCTTGCTAACTGGTATTATTTGTGATTTAAATCAGCATGAACCTACATTTGCTGAGCTCAGCAGCCTCCCTCTAGTCTTACGTAAAACTTGACACCAATGGAGCATCAGCACATTTCTTATATTCAAGAAATGGCAAGGTAATCAAGTCATTCTCACACCTTTAATTAAAACCTTTAATAATCAGGAAAAAAATCCTCTCAAGATTTAGTAGCAGATTTGGTACAGCATACTTTGATACTGTTAGTTCTTACTACTTTTACAAAAGCTACTACAGAGCATTTCTAGTCCTTTGCAGAGATCAATAAATAATTAATATCGTGACCATACAGCAAATCTAAAAAGTGTAATGAAGAAACAGATTGTGATACATGATCTGTGATTCTCCCCAGCTTTTAATTTCTCTGTTTCCTAAAATACGTATTTCATGATCTACAGTTCACAGATTTTAAGGTCAGAAAAGACCATTTGGTCATCTGTGTTAACCCAAAAGTATCTCTCAGTCATTTAAGTATTGTCATGATCTACTTAGTATTTAAAGCAGCAAGGATCTCTTCACCCCAGCATCTGTCCCTCCCCTGGCACAGCAATTAAATCTCCCCCAAACCAGAAGCAATTCCTCCCTCCCACTCTGCTCACAAATCAGTTCTGTCTGCAAATCTGTTCTGCCCTTCCTAGCTGCACATCAGCTGCTGTCATTTCTTCTTCCAAGCCTGACAGAAATAGGTTAGGGCAGTGGAGGAGGACGGCAGAGATCACTAGAAGAACAGCAGGGAGAAAGCTCTGAGCCTCTGAATTCTTTCTGCATCTTCCTTCAGGACTGACTTCCACAGTCATCACTTCTCACCATGGTTTGTGTAGGGGGTGGCAACCCATTTGTCCACGCTATCGCTGTCCTGAGCGTGGGGCCGCTTAGAACTCTAAATGTGTACATTTGCACTTGCCTTTTTGCATCCTTTCTAGACGTCCTAAGAATGTACTCTAACATCAGAAAGCAAATCCACATCTAAAACAGCATTGAAAAAATACTGTAAGGACTTCATATTTCAAAACAATTAGCAATTAGCGCTCTATCCTTCAAAGAAAGTGCGAAGAAGGAACGTTTACAGCCTATCTTTCATATCAAAGCCAAGAATCCTTCCACGGAGCAGAGAACGAACTGGGGACATCGTGGATATCTCAGTTTTCTTTCAAGCTAAAGAGCTAGACAGCTGTACAGTATAAACTGTTCCTGAAATAGCACTTCAGGGACCTGCTCAAACACTTTTCGTTTTTCCAGCTTCTTCGTGGGCAGCAGGGGGATTGGACAATGAATTGCCCATCCTCGCTCCAACTGTTTAAGTGGTTTCACTGCATAACCTAACGACAAACAAAAGAAAGAAACCCATCCTTTCCTATAGCAATGACTTTTACAGCTCTACATGTGCAACTGGTTAATGCTAGAACAAACTCAAATGGCTTGCAAGTACTGAAGTCTTGTTTATGAGACAGAACTCACATGGGATCTGAATGGGGAGCAAATTTAATTCTCACCCAAGTACTCTGATCAAAGGACTTGTCATCTGTGCTTGCAGATGGGTGGGCACCCTTACAGTGGAATGAATAGGGAAAGCTGGCTGAACACATCAGAAAATCAGAACTCTTCTGTGAGAGGCACTGTGAGGATTCTCAGAAGTTAGCTAATTCAGCAGTTCATCTTCCTTTTTCTGCTTTGTTGACACATCCCGAGATAACAGAAAGTGTAACTGAATTTCTCTTTTGACAGGGAAACCAGGCTAAATATTTCTGAAAACTTTCCAATGGTTGAAAAGCTGCAAACCATTTTTTCACAGTACTCATTTCCCAAGCATATGAGGACACACATGAAATATACAATTAACTGCATCTGCTTGGGCATAGTTTAATGCTAAAAAGGAGATTTAGGGTTTCAATTCTGTTCAAGGTACTCTGCCAGCTCAGAAGGGTTATGCTCAAGGGAGAGAACTACTGAAAAGCCAGGGGTCTATATCCACCAGATGATTTTTGTTTCAGTGAAGGAAAACTTTTGAAAGAGGTCATAAGCTGAACTTGAGAACATGAAAAATAAGTAGCAATTTGGCAGCTTGTCAAAAAGTTTCTGCACTGGATCAGTGCTCCATTCTAGCCAGACAAACAAATCCCTCATTTTTCTGAATGGTCTGAAGAACAGACAAGTGTTTTTTACAAGTGTTTTCTCTCTCAAGAATTCTCACTGTAGCCCTCACCAGTGCAGTTCCTTAACCCTCTCCAAGGCATCTTTTGGTGTCAGTTTTCCACGACAACTTCCATATGTTCTACAACTAAGAAAACCTGGGATCAGTGGCCCATTCAAACCAGTCTTTGTTTCTACCACGTCATATGCCTCCTTCCATTGGCTCCCTCTACCCCAGGGACACCAGGTCATTGTCTGTAAGGGACCTTTCAGACCCTTCTCCATTACTCTGATCCATCTATCAGGTCTGCTTTATCAAGTTACTGGTTTCCATCTTTCTTTAATCACTGACACTTCGGGAATTTGGCCATTTCCTAGCAAACCACTGCTTCCTTCCCACCACTACAACTTTTTTTGCACTGTGTTTCAACATAGACAAATTATTGCCCCCTTGAACTATCTGGTAAGTAATGATCTCTGTTGATTCAATTTTTAAACTTAATTTTAGTCTTACTCTACCCCATCATCTCAGCCCGGTCTCATCTCTGTTAGATTCACCTGGTGAATTCCACTATTTCAATATAATCAGTTTGTTCCATGGCATTATGCACAATAACCAGGAAAAGAGAGGCAGGACAGCATCTTCAACAAAACAGTGAAAACTCTACTGAAGCATACACTCTAGGACTCAAAATGCATTATTGATTTTTTCTAAGTTGAAAAGAAAGAGCAAATTGATGACATAAAACCAATGTGTATGTAGAAAACAAGCATGGCTAGACACCAACTTACTAAGGTTTGCTAAAAGCGTGCTAAAAGAAAGGTGGTTATGTACCAGGAACTATAATTCTTTCCAAATAAGACCTCTCTACTAAAGCAATAACAGGTTTTGCAACCCTGTCCTGAGAATGGGATGCACTCTGCACAGGCCGTACAAAGCTGGTGGTACCAACAGCTTGCTTCACAAGGCCACAGTAACATTTTGCATCAAATTCGACTGGCTGACATAGCCCTTTTAAAAGTAAAATATCTTGCCAGTTGTTCGTATTTCCTTCATCAGCATAGTCACTTCTCATCTTGACTTACCTCTAATAACTGTAAAATGAAAACCTACATCCAATTACTTACAGACTATCAGATAAAGATCTCTAAAGATGCCTCTCCTCCAGTCATTTGAGATCTCTTGGTCTATTGTATTCCATATATTTTATCATAACTAACAGGGGCATTCAGTCCCCTAGTTTGTGATGCACTTATGCTTCTGTGACTCACTGAATGCACATCAGGAATATTAACCAAGCAATAGAAGTACCGCATTGTTGGACTTTTTGGCATTATACATACCTTTAGGACCTGCTCTAAGTTCTCCAGCTTGGCTTGGAGCTGATGTTTTCCCTTTACAGCCAAATCTCGTTCTTTGGTCACTCTGAGAAGGGTTTCTCTAAGATGGTCATAGTCTGATTTTACCTAGAAAAATTAAAATGTGATTACTGCTCAAACATCTAATTAGTGAAGGGAAAACAATGTCTGACAAACATTTCTGCATGTTAAAATGGAAAGTGAAAAAGAAGTTCAAAGAAAATAGGAAAGAATCATAAAAAATGGAAGAGAAATGTTCATTGAGAGAATTTTGTGTCTAATATATGCATGATATATACACATATATGCATGAAACACATTTTCCTTTGACAAGGACTACAGCCTGGAAAGCAAACTGCAGTTCTGCATAAGTTATGCAAAGTTAAATAAATATATTAAAATAAATGTATTATATAACACATAATATAAATGACAATCAAACAACTGCTAATTTCTCTGGACCTCAAGAGGCATCAGAGATGGTTGTGCTATATGAAGAGACAGACAGATAACATATGTATACAAATATAACTTACGCACATTTTTCTGGACTATCTTCTAGTGTAAATTGACCTCAGAACATATTCAAATATACATGATCAGCCTGTGCTAACATTTGAAATTAGTGTCTCTACAGTTCAAAAATAGGTATTCTTCTGCAGCTTCTTGCTCTCCCTTAAAATATTTGTATACAGAATGTTTTTAAAGGATCAGATACTCATCAAGCAGAATTTGTTCTCTGATTTAATGTACTTGGTGCTAGCTTAACCGTTTCAGTATGACTAAGTCTTTTTATTTGGGATTTTGTCAATCATCAGTGATAGTGACTACTTCATAAACACACATAGAAAATAAGAAAACATAATATTGAACTACTTTATCCTGCCATGAAAAAGTTATTTCTTCAATTCAGATCAGCTGAAAATTTGATTTCTTATCCCTGATCATTTTATGACTTTATGTGGTGTATTGGTGTATAACAATAGGATTGTTACAGCTTGTGTCATATCTGAAACTGCAATATTTACATTAAGAATGAAAACCCACCAGCAATAAACACCTGGGTAAAGAAATACATAATGTTCACATACTATTTCCTCTTCCCTGCAACGCTGATCGAAGAAAGCAAAAGAGCGAGCTATAATATTTTTAAACAGTATTCCAAGAAAGATCTGTTTTCCTTTGTTAACTGCAACACAGTGCAAAAGCATAAACAATGCTGGCAGGATTACTGACTAAGGAAAGGCAAAGCAGTTTTGGGTAAGGCATAGGCTTTAATCCTGGTGCAGCTCATGTTTCCATCTAACTTCAGTTAAGGAAGTGACAAGTACTTTTCTCATTCAATTTAATTACTGTAATTTCTTGGGTTTTTAAAAGAATGAATGGCATTAAGCATGGACATCTCCTGGACATTTTCTAACGCGATGTTTTGGAAACCGATTCAGCCTTTCTATTTGCCTTCTGGCTCCAGTTTGTTAACTTGTAAATTTTGCCATGGACTAAACAATCTAAATGGTTGCAGCCAGCCCTCGTATTCATCTCTCTAAGAGGGCTCTTTAGAGTGCAGTGGACTGGAAAAAAGGAAGAGGAAAACGGAACAAATCATGTTTTCCTCAAGAACTGATGCAATTATTGTCAACCTCAGGATTTTTTTTCTGTGCAAAGATTTTTCTTTTCTTCTTCCCTCATTTCTTTATAACTAAGGAAACTATTAAACAATGGATTTTCAGAATCTATTAACCTCCTGCATCCTTTGTATTGTATTTCAGTGCTCAGATCAGTCAATGTATATTGTTGAAGAATAATGGAGTGGAAAAAGGAAGCAATGAGGTATCGCCATCAAGGACGCAATTTTGTTATTGTCTGTGATTCTCAGTTAATTTACTGAGGATGAATGATGTAGAATATTTTGAACAAGTTTCAAGAAAAGGTTTATTTTCCTCAGGTTTTGATTTCCCTGTCTCTAAAACAATTGATATCAACTGACTACCTTTGTAAATAATTTTCTAAAACTTACTAGTATCATAGTGTGAATAATTTTTGGGAGTTAGTGAGCACAGCACCTTTCTGCCATGTTTTTTTCCCTGCTGGCAATGAAGGGGCTATCAGAAAAAATGGCATCTATCAGGCTGCTAATGCAATTTTGGAGAGAGATGAATTAGAGACAGGTACAACCATAGACATTTTACACATCTCTCAATCTTTCATTTAGGATCTCAAAGCACATTCCTAAAGTTTAGGAATACACAAATGATTCTGCTGATTTCTCTACATTATCTTTTGGCAGATAAGCTTTTGAGCAAAGTTCTGTGCATATTTTCATTTTGCAGGTTGGAAAGAACACAATCAAATCTACCAACCAACTTATGATAATTACTCTTGCTACTTGCAGCAACACTGATAACTTCTAATATTTCTACAGGGCATTCTTGCCAGGACTTTTCCCTCTGAAGAATGTGTATCACATACAATGCTGTGCTATACACATCCATGTAACCCATATGGCAGCATAAAACTTGATGAGTCTACCATTTGCTTTTTTTGTTTGTTTTTTAGACGACATTCGTTCTTAAAATTTGTTCTTCAATGCTTTCTCCAAGCAGGCTGTTTAAGAACATATGGGATACACATGAACTTGAATTACACACAGAGCACATCAAAACATCAATGTTCCCTGTGGCAAAAACAGTTGACCTAAATAGTGTGCCAGCATAAACAGTTCTAATTGCATGACAGAAACAGGGAAGATTCTGATCTGTGATGTTTCTCTGTTCAATGCATCAACCAATTTATTGTAATCCCATACCCTCATGATTACTAAATGCACCCTCATTTGAGTCAGTTAGGGAGGCCAGAATACTGCTGAAGTGTCTTCCTCTTCCTGAACACTTAAACAGAAACTAGTTGTTGAAAACCAGCACACCAAAAAGAACCAGCAGTTTACTTCATTGGTGAAAAGCTCCATCAGCCTTATAACCCATCATTTGCCTTAATTCTAGGCTTAGATGGCCTGCCAATTTCTCAAACAACTGATATTGTTCAGAAAGCATTATTCAGAAAGTACCACAAAAAAGGTATGACTTCAGATATTGTGGAAATAAATTCTGAATGTATAATGCCTATTCTATTTTTACATAAAACAAGAAGCCCACACATATTCAGATGATCAAGTCAGAGCCCAGTGTTATAGCACTCCCAAAGACAAAAATCACAAGTACTCCACCCCAGGAACGCAGCTTTGTTTCTCTTATGCAGCGTACCAAAACTAAGTCATGGAAGCTATGTACAATGTTAGCTTTATTCTGTGGATTTAAAGGTAGCCAGCCTTGTACCTACTCCTTTCTACAGTCAAATTTCTGCAACTACGTTATGCAAAATGAATAGTTGTTTTATCTGTGCAACATAACAGAATGCATAAACACTCCTCCAAACCATTTGCTTGGATAAAGTTGGCCTGTTTTTCAGGCCAGCTCTCAAGGGTGAAAAAGAATAAATTATTTTAGACAGGTTTTCCCCTTCAGGGCTGAGCCCTAACTCTGTTAGAATGCTGCTCCAACCTCCACATCCAAAGTTGTAGCTTCACACTTTCTGAATAGTAAATTGTAATCTAAACTGCACAATCTATCCTCAACCTCATTCCGTTTGGTAAAAAAGCCCAAAACAACAAACAAAAGCCAAACCAAAAAACCCCAAGTCATTCCCTCAGAAATCCTGTTACACAAGAAGGAAACACGGTGTTTAACATTCAAGGCATATGGCAAAGACTGCATATTGTTAAAATTGTTGGACGTGAGAGAGTACCCTTCACGCAAGTCTCTGATCCTGTGGAGGGGCTGTGATATTAACTTAGTAGCACAGACATCCAGAATTGTCACTGTCCTTTTCACAGTATCTAATATATTTGAAGAAACAAACACCCAGATTATGACAAATTCTAACGTTCAAACAGCCAGGACCCAAACTGCCCAAAGATGTCTTTCATTCCATCAAACATCATGCTCAGTACACGAGCTGGGGGGAGTGGGACAGGGTCTCTCTTTCTGGGTCTGGCTTTTGTGGTCCAGCTCTGCTGGCTCACAGGGCCTCAGGGCTGTTGGGCTCTGGCTTGCTCTTCCTCTGGCTCCAGCTGCTCAGGGACTGTCAGGGTGTCAGTCAGCAGGGTGGTAAGCACTTGTATCATTTATTTTCTTTTCCATTATTTTCACTACATATTATTAGTAGTAATATTGATATTGTTAGTATTATTGGTATTGATAGCATTACTGGTATCATTATTTTATTTCACCTACTTCTATTATTAAATTGTTCTTATCTTAAACCATGAATGTCCTTGACTTTCCCTCTGATCTTCTCCCCCATCCCACTGAGGGAGAGAGGAGCTGAGCAAACGACTGTGTGGTTCTTGGTTGCTGACTGAGGTTAAACCATGACAGAGGGCTAACATTTGAATGTCACCAAGGCACTGAGTCTTCGCTGCATGCTGTTCCTGTGCCAGCTAGAACATAACAGTGCCTAAGTAAGACTTTTCGTGCCTCGTGAAGCAAAGAGTAAAGACAATGCGTAAACAACAATAAAGATGAAAGAAAAGAAAACAATTAGGAAAGGGAGACATTCTAGACAGATGGATGAATATAATTAAGTGGTGTTATGATACACATGGCTTCCTCCATATCATAAAGTGTTATTACACTGCCTTTTTATATAAAAACAATTTAATTTCCTCGGCAACAGGAAATTTCAGGCCTGCTTCAATACCAGGTGCTTCACACAATATGTAAAATACATGCATGACCATCTCTGAATTTTAGTAATTTGCATTGTCTCAGGGACTTGACCAGACCTCCTTTGTTTGGAAATTCAGCAGCAGGCTACTCAGTGATCCATCCACGTCAGAGATATCAAAGCATGCAGCTACCACTGTCGTGCAAGCTTTGAGGATGGGCTTTCATCAGAGCCTGAGTTACAGCTCTTCTGATATGAATGAGGTTGCCGAGCAACTCACTTAAGCCCTGTAGAAATCCCAGATTGGAGTTTTATTTTTAGCTAAATGTAGCCCTGTAAAGTGGCTGGTTCATGGTGTTTCTTCCACTGAACGCATATGTGGGGAGATAAGGCACATCAGCCTCCCCTCCCATCCTAGTCACACCGTATTGCCATAGATATAATCACACTGTAGTCAGAAGGACATTTTTTGCCCCACAACAGACACAAAAAAGAACTGAAGAAAGATGCTTACTATTAAAACAGTTTTTGTATCAGGACCTGAGTAGCTGAGACTATGCCATGTGGCATGCTACAGGGGAAAATCACTGCTAAATAGAGTTTTGGACATTTGCTGCTGGACAACATCTTCTCAACATCTTATTTACAAATTTTAAAATGCAAAGAAAAAATGCAGGAGGCTAGTAAAAAAGTCTATTAGATAGCAATTATATCTATCAGCATTTTGCAGAAAAAGAAAAAAAAAATCAATCAAATCTCATCAAAATCACTGAAAAAGTCTTTTTACCAAAGCCTAATACCAATTTACAATACTAAGAAAATATATGTCAGAGGAATTATGTACCTTTCTAAATTCTCTCAGTGTCTTAAATTTTCACTTGAAAATAACATTTATTATTGATTAAAATAATATTTTTTGTAATTTATTTTTCATTAATATATTTTATGTTGTCAAGTAGAATCAAGCAAGTCCGAAACCACTGATTTCTACAGCAAAGGACTGTAAGAGACCTGTGCTCATGACATTACCTGGTCATATTGCAGTGCTTTGTGGGACACACTTGCATACTGAAGGCTCAGGCGATTCTTTTCTTGCACAGCATCCTTCAGTTCATTTTCCTAAAACACAAGAAAAGAGTGTTACAGATCATTTATCTCCATCACAGTATATCCTATTAGGTGCTTAAGGAAGCAATGTTTTTACATTATTTGGTATTAACAAACTACTAAGAGTAATGTCAGGCACAGAGCCAAAGGCACTGAAGGTGCAGAAGCAGCAGATTGGCTTGCAATTACAGTTGGCTCTATCGTAAACCTACATGTAGATGATCTGATTAAAGTTGCATGGGCCAAGAGAGAGGACCTGACTTCACAGGCCTCGTACCTATAAAAATAATTATGATAATGATATTAAAAATCTCCCTGTTGATGTAACAAGTAGCCTGGCTGCTTCACTTAGAACTGGGAAGAGAAAGAGACTTGGATCCTGTAAGAAAAATAATGCTATCAAGCTTAGGTCTTCAGAAGGCATTTTGAGGGCAAAAGCTAATAAATGGAACTCATATACACATTTTTATATTCATGTATTTCACTTGAGTTATAATGTATATCTATTTATAATAAATGTATATATACACATTCTAATACAAACACTTTTAGAGTCTGGGTAGAGCATTCATATACTGCTTGGGCAGGCAGATTTGAAATGCAGATGAAAACCAAAAGGTAAGTAACCTGTGCCCAAAGATCAAGGTATTAACTACAGCCTCAGGAACATACTTTTATTTATTTAGACAGCACTGTAAGGAGGAAAAAGGGAAAAGTAAATAGAACTCAAATATACAGTCAAAGGTCAAACTAGATGAGAGGAAATGCTTTGTCAGGTCACACAAATCAAAATCCATGCAACCCAGGAAAAAGCCAGCAGCATTCTCTGACAACTTATTTTTTGCACAAGTTCACAAAGGGAATTGTCTGAGATTAAATCTTCAGTTCAATTGCTTAGGAGAGTTGCAATCAGTCATGCTGGGCAATCTGTAGCATTTCCATCCTACAGTATGCTTTATATATTGTCTTCTGAAGACCTTGGTTATATTTGCCAAAAACCACACTAAGGTAGGCAAAACTGGGCCCACTTTTGAGTGATTTGAAATAATTTATGATTTTGCACCATTAAAATCCAAATTATCAGCAGATTTCTCTACTAATTCTGCTGATGTCTTAAGAAAAAATGTTCCAGTAATGCTTTATCACACTTTCTCTTTAAAATTCTCAATATGAAAAAAAAAATTAAATTGCCAATATTAAATTGCCAATTTTTGTTCTACCAATGTAAGCCCTAAAAAAGGAATTTCAAAAATCTTTATTTAAATGTATTTAAATGTTTTACATACTACTTGAGCCAAAAACCTTGCTATTTTAAGCATACCCTTCTTAAATCAATTTCAAAACTCTCTGCACACCAGATTATTGTTCTGAACAGAAAACTAGTGCTTTCAATGAACAGAAGTTGTTAAACTGTTTATCTAGTTTCCTAAGCTTCATTACCTGACCATCAGACCCAATGAGATTGCAGAGTTCTGCTTGGCTACTTGACTGATATCTAAGAAGGCGTGACCCAATCTGATTGACATTAACCACAGGGATCAGAATTTATCGGGTCAGCTAAACAGAGTATGATTATGTGAATAATTATTTCTATAGAACATGAGATTAAAATGTCAGTTATACAAAACATTTCATACAGATAAGGCCATCCTGAGCAACAGTGATTTTAACTCCTCAATTAATTTTGCAGAAGATGCTGCATTTCTGCCCACACCTGGAATGCCAGTCTGATACTAAATTTCAACACGAAGAAAGAATAGTGAAAATCAGTTCAGCTCAAGTAACAGCATTACAGCACCATCGTTGTACAATATCAGAGCATCATCTGTGGGAAGCCGCTCTCGTGACTGAGCGTTAAGTGCTACTGCACTGAACCAGACTAAGATGACAAACTGCAGAATATGCAGTCTCCCGACTGCAGATATACCTATCATCTTGCACATAAGGAGGCTCAGCAATTATAATTTCTCAAGTCTGTTAAATCTGTTGTTCAGGGTGCAATTAAACGTGGCAGCCAGGCTCTGTGAGATGCTAGACAGTTCTGAGGGCCAAAAGGAGAAGAATTTCTTAGCTCATGTTGCATTTTCAAAGGTGTGAATTAAATCAGTAAATATTTTTATAATATCAACAAACTGCATAGAAGAGTTCCCTGGATATGCAAATAAATCTTTGCATCCTGTTAATTGCTGAAAATCACTTGTAAAGCATTGCGTGTCTATTCTGCACTTTACAAGGTGAAAATAAGCTACACTACCTGCTCTGAAACGCTCCCAACGGCAGGCTTGTGTCAAGCCAACTTTGAAATCGACTTTAATGGATCGATTTACATTTGTTACAAATCAATAATGCTCAGTTGGCTTTAATGGGGAAGAAATTACAATGAGTTACCAGGTTTTAATAACATTATTAAAAGGAATTCAAGCATGAGGGGAAGGGGAAGGAGAGGAGGAGTAAGTGATGGCAATCTAGGCCAGCAGCTTTCACACCCTACTTAAACTCTCCAGAATGGAAACAATTTACAAGAGATGGCCCAGCAACTGGGCTGGCTCTTAGTCCTACCTGAAGAAAATACATATTATCATGTTATTTGCAAGGCTGAATAGAAGCAGGGCAGTAACTATCCCAGTTTCTTTGGTCCTCAGTTACAAGCCTATTTCTTTTCACTTGTACCTCTGCTCATCATAGTGGCAATTTCTCTCAGTATTCTTTCATATTTGCCAGGATAAAGCCCACCTATGTTTCCCATCCCAATCAAATCCGTAAAGGTGAAGAATTAGGAATTACTAGCACACTTATAGCCCAAAAAATACAGAGAGAGAGACCCAGCAACTAAAACTCAGGTGCACAATTTCCACTTGCAGTATTTGCAATAAGGACAGAATGTATTTAGTATGTATCTTATCAGTGCGTTTGGGAGTAACATAAATATATGTACATTTATAATATTTAGACTGCTTGCTCTCAGAAAAAGCATTAAGGAGCAAAGAATAAATGACTCCTCAAAGGTCTCAGAGCAATATTGTGGTAACAGCCAGAAACTGAACCAAAATCTTGTAAATTTCAGCCAAGTTCCTTTATTGTGCTATGTCTTTTGGAAATGATCCAAGTCATAATTACTGTCAACTCTGAAATTCCCACAATATTAGTTCCAATCCTTTGTTGACTTGAATCACCTCTCAACAACAATGACCCTTACAACAAGGGCTCTGACAGAAGAATTCTGCTAGATTCAGCTGCAGTATTTTGGCCACTGCATATATTATCAGTCATGTCCTAAAAGTAACCTGTGATGTGGCTAACGGAAGCAGCACACTACTGCCCGACGGGGAAGGCAAGCTAGTTTCTGTATAGTATACATGAATAGTACTTCAAGAAACCATTATGTTCTCTCTCAAAATTCCCCATGACCAGCTTTTCCAGTGCTGAACATTTCCAGATGCTGTTACTTGGAGAAGCACGTTTACAGTACTCACTGTACATCTCCTCACCATCTCCTCTTCTCCTGTGGCTGTGAAGTACCACTGGGATTTTTGCAAATTATAGTTACGCATCACTGCAGTTTCTGATTTTCTGTCTGATCCATTGATTTCTGTGATTTGGTCCCTTCACAATACTTGCCTTGATATTTTCCAGATCAGTTAAATATAAAACAAAAGAGATCAAAGTTAATCCCAGCTACACCAGAACTTAACTCTACCCAATGGGCAATTCATGTATTTAAAGAAAAAAATAATTGAAGTAATGTAGAGAAAAAGGATGTTTTTAACTGTTTTCTTCCAGGTACAAACAAGAAATCTCTAATTTCTGCTATAAACTCCTATTGGCCCACAGTCAGTGTCTGAAAGTAGCCAGTTCATGGCTGCTATTCTCAACAGTGCTCTCATACCACCACTGTGTGTACATCACTTGACTGTGACCAGACCGGCACACAAAAGAGTGTTTTCCATTTGGGTGGGGAATCCAACTCATTTGATTATCATTTTACTATGGTGTGAGTTATCTTCATTAGTATTTTATGGTTGGTTTCTGAAAGAGCTTCAAAACTTCAAACACATTTTAAGGGAGACAGATGCCTTTTGAAAATCCCAGTTATGTTTCTTCTCACACAGTAAGGCTACACTTCCTTAAGATGCTATACTGAAATCGAGTGTTTTTCCATTCTCTCCCCTTTACTTGGCAGGTAGCACTGAATGCATTAACAACAGGGCAACACTTCTCACTTCAGCTCTTACGACTGCCAGTTCCAAACAGAACCTTCAAGTCAACAGAAAGAAGAGGTCAGCAAATACATAGGGCAGCCATCACAAATGACAGCCTCCGTGGCAGGAGGCTGGATATGTGCTTCTCATCTTCAGCTTGTCTGTGAACGCTAGGGATTCTCCACTACTCTCTCTCTAATTTATGAACTCTACCAAATTCTAAGTGGAACATGCAAAGAGGCACCACTCTCTTACTGCTTGGACCTACAAGGAGATTTGTGGGATATCACAATTCATGTCAAAGCTTGACATGATTCAAAGTTTTAAACTTCCTGGCAATAAACTAGTACCAGTCCAAAAAACAAACCTGTGGAAAGCATTACCATGCACTTTCCCCTCGTCCTTTCTGTTTTTTATACAAATAGCTTTTGACTTCATCTTACAAATTTAATGAGAGTTTTGTCCTTTTTCCCTCTGCTGCCCTCTCCCCTGTTCTTCATTTATTCACTGTATGTAACGATTCTGACAATTTAATTGCGCCTAAGAAGCAACATTTTACTAGAGTCAAATGAGGTCTACCACTTAACCTATGCAAATCAATCCACTGCAGCTGTTAATAAAGACAAGTAGAGTGAAGATTAAGAACTCATCAAGCCAGTTAGTCCAAGACACAGTATAAAGTCAAATGCTGACTAGATGTTAGCAGACTAACGTGCAAGTGAAAAGGAAGCAGTACTTCATACTTCCAAAAAGCTTCTCACCAATCTCCAGTCCTGACATTGGGTTTCAATTATTAGTTGAACAGTCTGTCAC